AGAGAGAGAGAGAGAGAGAGAGAGAGAGAGAGAGAGAGCGGGTGGGACAGTAGGGGTTGGAGAGAGAGGAGAGGCTTAGTGGCGGGAAATGAATATGACGGCGATGATATGAAGTTATAGGCTGGGGAAGGTAATCAGATAGATAGCCATATCAAGACAGAAAGAGATAGAGATAGTAGGACACAGTGAAAAGTATGGGGATTGGAGAGAAAGGAAGAGAAAGAGAGACGTATACATATCATATGTGCACATATAGTGAGATTAATTATAATATTGTGAACAGGGTGCTGAGGGAATGGTTATATTATAAAGACTTGCCATCTTTTCTCCCAAACACAAGGCGTCCATTAACTATGTCTAAAGGGGTATTGAACAGAGTCATAATACAATACCATTATATTATACTATGTAACTAAAAGTGCATTACCTTTTCCTTTCGTTCAGATTATTTGTGCAGTGTTGCAAGCAGCATATTAAAACAATGTTCTCCCCACCACATAAGCTATTGATGAACCCTGGGTACAGCTCCTTGAAGCAAGAACATGGATATATAAACATTTAAAGAAGGTCGCCGCTAGCACCTAGAAAATAATAGAAAAAAAGTTGTTATCGATATGCATTGTGTTTTGCTTTAAATAGAGTGAAATATATGATATTAAACATTATAGAAACTTTTTCCTGTGTTCAAATTCGATATCAAACAATATGAAAATATACTTTACATCACCATATCTCATTTTACTGACGAACATTTTTGCAATCAGTATAATATGATTTGCAGTTTTTTACTACACTATTATTTACTCCACCGTCCTTTCTCACGCCGAGTAGAATATTGGCGTCTGTCATCGGAAAATGTTTATTTGTGATTTGGAAGAGCAGCTGAAACACATGATTCCAAAATCCCCTTAATCATGAGCAGTGATAAATATGTGTCCGACAAAGTCTGCTACACCGCAATATTCACACATTTCTGAAGATGTTATGCCCGTCCTATTCAACAAGGTAATTGTTGGGAATATATTGTGAAGTATTTTAAAAAGGAGAAGGCAAAAGCGAGATTCTTGTGTGGCAATATGTGCTAGACTTTACCTATCTGCTATATCCACTCCAAGCTTTTTCAACCAAAAGTTCTTACCGCATACATGGAACTGCTCCCGTCCCAAGACAATTCGTCCTAACTCCCGATTGTTGCTACATAGTACCTGAAGACTTTCAGCACTAATTTTTTCACACACAACTGCTGCACACTGACTGTGCTCCAGTGTGTAATTCTGGTTCAGTCGCCCTGTCACTGTTTTTAGTAGGCCATTTAGTATAGCATAATAATCAAAGTCAAAGCCTGCATAGTTTCTATTGTGTGTTTCATTTCTTCTTTTGTTTTCATCCGTCCCCTGTCATAAACGTGGTAAGTGTGTTTTATTCCATTTCTCATCCAATATTTCAGAAAAAGCGAATTACCTTTGTAACGTATCTTTTCGTTATTGAAAAGAGGCTGAGTAAGAATGTCATTCACTTCGTTGTACCTCGAACCACGCTGTCATGACCGCTATCCAAAATGTAGATGCACCAGCTGGCTTGATCAGATGTTTAGTTAATAGTTGCTTTTAAAAAGTACTTTAGACCTCCAAGTTGATTAAAAATGATGTCTGTAATTTGCAACTCGTCCTCAGCTAAACTTTTGCTTATTGCTAGACGCTTCATCCATTTCAATAGGAACACTTTTTGTTGGTTTCGCACCCTGATCATGCATAACCCTCTCTCTTCTACAGATGCAAATGACTGTTCTTTTAATCTTCTCCTTAGCCTTTCGGTTCGAGAACTTTTTCTGCCAAAACAATTTGAAAAACAGTGTGTCAATGTTGCTAGTGACCTCGTCAGGTAAAAACAGTGTGTCAATGTTGCTAGTGACCTCGTCAGGTAAAAACAGTGTGTCAATGTTGCTAGTGACCTCGTCAGGAAAAAACAGTGTGTCAATGTTGCTAGTGACCTCGTCAGGTAAAAACAGTGTGTCAATGTTGCTAGTGACCTCGTCAGGTAAAAACAGTGTGTCAATGTTGCTAGTGACCTCGTCAGGTAAAAACAGTGTGTCAATGTTGCTAGTGACCTCGTCAGGTAAAAATAGTGTGTCAATGTTGCTAGTGACCTCGTCAGGTAAAAACAGTGTGTCAATGTTGCTAGTGACCTCGTCAGGTAAAAACAGTGTGTCAATGTTGCTAGTGACCTCGTCAGGAAAAAACAGTGTGTCAATGTTGCTAGTGACCTCGTCAGGTAAAAACAGTGTGTCAATGTTGCTAGTGACCTCGTCAGGTAAAAACAGTGTGTCAATGTTGCTAGTGACCTCGTCAGGTAAAAATAGTGTGTCAATGTTGCTAGTGACCTCGTCAGGTAAAAACAGTGTGTCAATGTTGCCAGTGACCTCGTCAGGTAAAAACAGTGTGTCAATGTTGCTAGTGACCTCGTCAGGTAAAAACAGTGTGTCAATGTTGCTAGTGACCTCGTCAGGTAAAAACAGTGTGTCAATGTTGCTAGTGACCTCGTCAGGTAAAAACAGTGTGTCAATGTTGCTAGTGACCTCGTCAGGTAAAAACAGTGTGTCAATGTTGCTAGTGACCTCGTCAGGTAAAAATAGTGCTTGCATGATATACGAAATTTGCGACAGCAAGAAAGCCTTACAGAGTATTACCTTTCCATAGAGTGAAGGGCTTCTCTTTTGTCACATTTTCATGATATTTGCGTATTGGAGAATCTTACCCAGATGCACTGTCCTTTCACCTCTCTCTAATGACAGACCCCCTTATATCTTTATTACTTCCTGTTTTTATGGCCTTCAGTTCAACTACGAGGACAAAAAGAAGTGGACTGGCACAGCATCCTTGTTTAACTCCACGCTCTGTGTTAAACCAGCCAGACAACCACCTCTCATTTTGCAAACAGCACTCTGTGTTAGTGAGAATGGTTTTAAACATATTAATAGATTGATCACCAAAATTGAACTTTATCAAAGCAGCTAAAATTGACCTCTTTTCAATGGTGTCAAATGCGCTTTCGAAGTCTAAGGAGACCACCATTCCAGGGATATCATATTCTGAGGAGATAAAAATAGCATCATCAAGAGTTCTGATATGTTCTGCAATTGACCTTCCCCTTTAAAAAAACTGATTGGTCATGGCAGATTATATTTGCCATAATGCTCTGAAGGCGTAGAGCTAGCACCTTTGAAACGATTTTGTAATCCGTATTTGTCAAGGTGATTGGGCGCCAGTTTTTAAGATCATCCCTTCGAAGATCATTTCCTTTATACAGTAATATGATTACCCCCCTTCTATGAGTTGGCGCAAGCTGGACTTCAAGCAGAGATTGCTCTACACACTGAAACAAAGGTTCCCTTCGTTTTTTTCTAGTACATTTTATAAAATGGAGCCGTCATGCCATCAGTCCCAGGAGATGAGTTATTGTTCAGTGATTTGGTTCCCATGTCAAGTTCTTCGATGGTAATTGGCTTATTACATTCATCTTGTTCCACCCCGGACAATACTGGGTGGTCAATATTTTGCATCAGACTCGTTATACCTTGGTCTACATCGCTTACACTATCATCTTATCTGTATTACCTTTCAAAATGTGTTTTTATTACTTCTATGATCTCAGTGGGATTTTGTATTAAAGTTCCATTCCCACTGCACCTCTTAAGAGATTTTATAGTGTTACTACAGCCTTTAGATTTTTCCAAATTAAAAAAAAAAATCGTGTTTTTCTCACCCTCCTCAATACACTTTACCCTTGATCTAATTTGGGCCCCTCTAGTTCTATTAAGCTCTATTATTTAAATGTTGCGCCTTTTCTTCTGGAGCTGCTGAAGAGCGGTTTATCATCGGGATTCAGTGCTGTAAGTCTGTTTAATCTAACAATTTCATTAGCCAGTGCGTTTTCTCTGTATCTCATGGCTCTTCTTCTTTTAACCCCATGTACTATGCTTGTCTCCTTGACTAGTATTTTAAGTAATTCCCGTCTTTTTACATAGTATAGTCAGCGGTTAATTCCAAAGAATCATCAGTACACTGGTTCATGTCACACAAAATTTCCTTATCATGTAATAGTGAATTATTGAATTTCCAAAACGATTGTCCTCTTTAAAACTCATTCGTTCTAAAAACAGTTACCACTCCTTTATGATCCGTGCTGTAGATAATTTCGTGGCTATTTTCTACTGCTTGTAAAAAAAATTCTTCATTACACAATATTTTGTCGAGACGACGTGCTGTGAATGGGGTGAGCCTTGACCATGTAACGTCTTTTTCCTCACCATGTATATGTAACGAACGCCACGTGTCCCCAAGGTAACAGTTTTGGACCCAATCGATAAATTTTCTATTCGCAACCACATTATGCGGTTCTCCAGTAATAATGTCAAGGGTGTTGTTCAATATAACATTAACATCTCCGCAGATGGTCTGCATCCCCATTGATGAAAAAAGAATAAAGCTGATCAAAGAACTTTGATTTTTCAAATGCGATAACTGGGCCGTATACATTTACTATTTGAACAATTAGATCATTCAAAGAGATCTTCAACCTCAGTATTCTGTCTGTTTTGATTATTATTTTAAGGTTTTCATAATTTGATCTGTTATTAACAAAAATAACTTGTCGTTTGCTTCTCTGTGTTCCTTCCGCAAAAAGAATTCTCCTTTCCAGTCTAATCCCCATTCCCTTGCTGTTTTCTCTGTGATATACGTTTCTTAAAGACAAACTATATCGAATTTTGCACTTTGACGGAAGATAGTTTTTCGATTTAGTTTGTTATTTAGACTTCGAAAATTAATAGAAGCGATTCGCAAATTTCTTCCAATCCCGCTATCCATAATTCGAAATCCGATCACATTGCACCATAGCTCTTTATCAATTTTAAAGTATAGCTTGCGTTTAGGGGCTGTTGACTCCTCTACAGTTCATTGATAATACTTTTATAGTAATGTTTGTTTAAGTTTGAGTTTGCAGGGTAAAGAAAAAGATTTACTTCATAGCAGTTTGAGTAATAATGACGAGAGAGTTGAAGAAAGAGAGAGAGAGAGAGAGAGAGAGAGAGAGAGAGAGAGAGAGACAGAGAGAGAGAAAGAGAGAGAGAAAGAGAGAGATAGATAGAGATAGATAGATAGAGAGAGTATAAGTGTGTGTATGCGTGTGTGTGTTATGAAATATGTGTGAGCTTGTGTACTAAATGTGAGTGAGAAAAGGGTGGAGGGAGAGGTGCTGTGCGATAGAAGAGGGAGAAGGAGAAATATGTGTGGTGACGAGAGAAGACAAGAAGGAGAGAAAACGTAGAAGGGCGGAAAAAATCCTTTGTGCCAACAAAAAACAAAAAACAAAAAAGCAACAAAAAACAAAAACAAAAATACCCCAAATCACAAAACTAGAATCGCATGTCCGTAAAACCGTGCCGGGTAAGAAACCTATGAACGTTTTTACCAACAAGCAACACTAAGCGTTGTCTTTTGTTTTCAAACCATTCCGTATTCTTCGGTACTTTCTCCCATTTCTATGCCACTTTTCTCCCGAGACACACTCCTCTCCCCAAGCGGTCTTTTTTCGTTAGAACCCCCCCCCCCCTTCTTTTTGAGGCTGAACGCCCCCTGGAAACACTAGATCTACGTGCCCCATGCTTTTTATCCAGCACAATCATGGTTTGTCTGAGCTTACCTCTGGTGGTCACAGACGACGATCGGGATCGCGGTACGGGAACGATGTTTGTTGGAAGGTCGTTGGCCACCCCTCCGTCCTCTCCTCCGTTCCCCTCACGGACAGAGTGTTCACTCACCCTGGGTCTCGTCGGTTCCTTGGATCTGGGTTGTTTCCTGTCCTTATAATAAATAGACGCATTGAAAACACCACCAACTTTTAGTGACAGTGGCAGGGGAGAAGTAGGGGGCGAGATGTAAACAAAATGTCTACCTGTTTTCTAAGAAGTCAGTCTCCCCTCTTCGTCTCTATATTGTTCGTCTTTGATGTCGCTGAGTGGGGTATGGCGGACTGAAATTCAGAGTGTTCTCTAATATATATATATTTTTTTTATATTCTAGTCCACTACTGAGGGGGAACCTCACATGGGCTGTAACGTTAGTTCCGCGTAATGACAACCCATTCAAGAGAATGTCATTCCTCGCAGTCCTGGATTTAGTATAAAGTCTCCAAGCACCATACCATTTCTGCGCCCCAATTATTTGTCCCTCCCCGCACACCTTCTCCATAGCTCAACACACTTCTATGCCTCTTACTGGGTCCGTGTCCGAGGAACAAACGTCCCTGTTCTCAATGAAACAGAGTGGCGGTCCATTTGAGTCGAGCATGCTCGCCATGTTGAAAACGGGGTGAACGAGGAGTTGGAGTTTCGCTGCGAAAGAAAGCAAAAAGTCGACACAAAAAGAAATTAAGAAGCAGACTTACCTGTTAGAGACACAGAATACTAAGCACAAACCTGATGATTTCGAAAGAAAAGTAATAGAAGGCACAATCTCGCATAGAATCGCCCAAAACTCAGCGAAACGCGGAGCCGTTGAAAAGTCAACCGACCCCGGTAGACGTCAAAGAGGAAGTCCGTAAAGGAATAGTAATGTTATAGTCTTTTTTAATCACCTTATTATGGTGCCTTAAAGTTTGCCTTAACCTGTTTCATATTATAGTTTTATCAATTGCAACACAGTGTATGTCAGACAACAATGAATCGTGGCTGGAGAAGCATCGTATGTAGTAAAGACAACATGAACAATCAAGAAAGACTGATACTTTCCTAGTTTCCAAAGCTATTTCATAATATCAAAACCATTTAAAACGTTAACACGTAAGTGGTGTCTTGGATCTGTGAAACCGTTTTGTAAATGAACTGTTTACTTCTGTGGATTGAGTTCAGTCTTTACATTTCAATTCAAAGATCTGCTACAAAGCGTCATTATTTTGTCATAACGAATGGGATTCGAATTTTATCAATCCCTCTAAGGGCCAATGGTTAGCCGTTTTGGATGGACAGAAAGGTACATTGTACCCTAGTGTCAAGGTGTAATTATGTTACAGCGGGGGAGATAAACAGTTTCCAAAGTGGAGACAGACAGACCGACAGACAGAAAGACAGACCGGCATACAGGCAGACTGTCTGACTGACTTGCAGACAAACAGATAAACAGACAGGCAGAGAAGAGTTTGGCCGATGAATGGATGGGCGGAGAAAGAAAGTATACAGAGACAGCTTATAAGCGATCAATATTATTGTCCTCTTTCCGTTCTGCAGCTGCTAGTGTCGTCCTCTACAGTAGAAGACTGGGCTGTCTGTCTCGTGATCCCCCGCCAGGCATCGAGGAGTTTATAGAATCTGTGGGCCAAGTGAATACACTAATAAGTGCCGCTCGAACATATCCTTTGTTCATTCTGAAGACACTGAAGAGGAACCTATGGACCCAGTTTAATGAAGCGTGTGATAAGTCCTTTGCTTTTGGTGAGTTGTGTTTGGTTTACGTGTACACTTTGTTGTAATAGATTTCTAACCCTTGTGAGAAAATAGTCTATCTTTCTGTCAGTCTATTTCTGACTGTCTTTTGTCTCTGCAGATCACCATGTACCTATCTGCACCTGAAAAGACCTAGGAAAACAGAGCAAAATGGAAATTCTAACGATATAAAGTCCAACCCAACACAGCCTAAATTCAAATCTCACAAGTTCAAATCCTACCTATTATGCGTCTGCAAGGAAGCCCCTTTACACCCTTTTAATTTTAAACAATGAAGATGCGATTTTTTTCGAAATTCAATTGTTACAATTCCAAGAAAATTTTTAAAAAATAAACAAAAGTATGCACAAAATATACACACAGGTTAAAAACACACTTGCAACTCCGAACAAATTTGGACATTCCCTGGCTGACTAATTGAGGGACTCAAGAGACGTGTAATGTCGCGTGTAGTTTACTGCTCACTTGGTGTTAGGCTTTGACCCCCCCCCCTTTTCATCTCCTTTGTGCACTCCATAAAAGTATCTATTGTTCCATCTTTTTGGTCTGTATTATCCTTAATTGCTGGTCTACATAACATCGTCGCTTTAGTGTTTCTTGGAGCGTCCCCATTAAAAAAACCCATTCAGTTTCTTGATCAACATGCAGCGCAAAAACTTTGTAGATCTGGCATCTAGCTCTTATTTTTCTTATCGCAAGTCTGTTTACTTGTTTATTTGAAAGAGAGGTGTTTGTCCGTATCGATAAGCTGGGCTTGCTTCATTATTGAAGTGTGAGCTCATCTTTATACTTTAATTTGAACATCTTTCTGCTCAAAGTTCTTTGTTACATAGTAGATTGAAATGAGGTGAAACGCATGGTTTTGATTAGAACACAATTTTTCTTCCAGTCCAGAGAGAGATCAACAAAAGTCTCGAAGACCCCGAGGCGCAATCCCTGATTTCCCACATCATGGCAGGTGAAAATCTGACGTCTGCAGAGATGTACTCAAACGTTTCCGAGATAACACTAGCGTCTGGAGACACAGTAGGTTCTGTGAGGTCATGGGAGTTTAAGTACACTAAGATTTGTTGGTGTATCATGCGAAATACTCTCACCAGGCGAGTCGTTAGCTCAGTTGACATCGTGCTTGACTTAAGTGATGGTGATACGGGTTTGAATTCTACTAAGCTGTACTTATGAACATAGGCTGATTGGGAGATTCTATGACTCAACCCCCACTTGGCTGTCCTATCGAAAATGGAAGTTGAAATAAATAGACACTCCTTTAATAAAATATTTTTGTTGAGAAAGGCTTGAAATCCATGCTAGACATGCAATGACACGAAGAACGTTTGTTGAAAAGGGGACCAACAATAAGATCCCACATTATAGTGCAATTGATTTTTCTTCTCTGTTGCATGCTTTGCGGCACCCAGATTTCGATATATTGAATTTCGATTTATTGGTTTTTTTTATACTTTCTCTTAAGACATGTTCAGTTTACTCCTTTCAGGCATTTAGTCTTTAAACTGTTAAGATGTACTAGGCCCAACATTTAATAATATTATACAATTATTTCAGTTTCTTAAGCTGTGGTATCGGTTGCATGAGCTCAAGAAATATTTTGTCGATTCAAATTTTAATTTCATTGTTGAAAAAGGCAAGATAAGGTACATAAAGTAGGTACACATGTTAAAAAGAATGAAATAACTGTGTTCTCTCCCTTGAACAATTTTCTGTCTGAACTGAGAAATGTTAAAGAGCTTGCCAACGATACACTGAACTGAAGGCCTATGTCAGGAGAGCTCCTTGATATTATGCTGAACTACAAAATGGATCATCCTTGTTCAAACTCTAAAAAGGGCGTTCTTGAAATTATATTATTAAAAACAGAATTGTTAATGTTCTCCGTCCATTTGGCTCAGTCCATCAGGAGTAAGGGCAATAACACAGAGAACGCCGAAACTTAAGCGGCTGAAGATCGACGCTGACAGGCGCCAGTAGGTGTCTACTTGACTCCATATAGAGGGTGCCTAAAGGCCTAGATCTAGGTCTAAAATACAAAATTACACCAAAACACAGCTGGTATTGATGAAGCATTTATGGGTAAGGGGGGGGGGGGGGCACGAATTTCCTTAAATAATGCTTAAAATGTCATTCTGCTCGGTTGCCACCCTAATTTGACGGAGCTGATTTAAAAAATGTCATTAGTTTTGTCTACCGTGAAGCACCATTTCTGAAATGACCATTTAAAATTGTCCCCGGTCCAGTCGGGTGACGTCACGCAAACCGCTGAACCAGAATTGACGACGGCGAGACTCCATTGAGAGTTCACGACCTCAGTGCTTCTTTGTCGTATCTCCATTTTTAATAGCAGTGAAAGCAGTTTTAATAAAGAGTGAGCTTAAGAAGAAGTCACATTTTCACTGTTAAAAATGAAGATACGACAAGAAAGCAGTGAGGTCTGAGTTGACCTTCCCAATTTATCGGCGCAATATGAATGTAGTTTGGATTCCGAAAAAGTCGACAGTGCCGATCGGTGCTTAAAGGCACCTGCAGTCTGTCAGCTCTATGTGGAGCAAGTTGGAAATCATAAGGGAATTTTTGTACCTATCGGTACTTACTGAGTCAGTCTCCGAAATCGACGTTCTCTATGTTTTAGCTCTTAGACGTGAAATTCGGAGGTCTCGCCTCTTAAATGACCTTACAGTTTTGAAAAGAGCATTAAATCTACATGATGAAATGATAAAAAGATAAAACCTTCAAATTCAGATCATTAAGTGGGTTGGGCTAAATGTTTTTCTGACTACCATACTATAGTGAATTATTCTAAATCATCCCCCCCCCCCGACCATAATATCATTCAATTCTCAGCACCGTTTGTGACGCACTTTAACCTTCGAACCTATCATCAACATTTTGTACATAATTTTCATGGGGTCTCACTCGGTCTTATAGTTTTGGGTAGACTGCTGTGCAGATGTCCCTCTTTTGAATCCCAAAATAAGTATTCTTAAAGGTGTGTTCATAGAGGAATTGGTACGTCTCATCTTTTATTCGCCTAATTCCTAACAGAGATGAGCGTCAGACATGGCGAGCTCGCTTTTTTGCGTTGAAAGAGAAGGAAAAATACCCATTATATTGTACTCATACCTTAACAGACCTCCAACTGGGCTCATTTCATACTGTGGGAGCTCTGTCATCGTCCGTCACTACAGGAAAAGGTGTACGAGGAGATCATGTCTGTTGTGGGAAAGGACGAAGAAATCTCTTACTCCACTCTAGATCAGCTGAAGTACACCACAGGGTTCTTGAAAGAGATCCTCAGGTACATCATGCGGTCTTTTTGTTGTTGTTGTTTTTTACTTACGTTACTGTCAATGTGTCCTCGCTCCTTGACACCATTTATCATCAGTCGTTTAAAACGCCTTAGGCTTAACATTTTTAGAGTTTATTTTTTATTTGCAGTTTCTTAGTCTATAGTATCCAATGAAGATGATGATGATTATGATGATGATGATGATGATGGTGATGGTGATGGTGATGGTGATGGCGATGGTGAGGGTGATGGTGATGATGATGATGATGATGATAATAATGACGTAGGTGCATCAAAGTACTGATGCTTTGTGTTCACTTTTTCTGCCTACGTAGGTTACATCCACCAATTTATATCGGTGGCCGCACGCTGAAACATGGAGGTGTCATCTCTGGCTATCAGATTCCTCCCCAGGTGAACGAAACCGTTTTCAAATTTTGTGGATTTTGATTTTGTTTTGCCGTTTTTTTGTCTTTGTCTTTTGCCTTTTGGTTGATGAAATTTTTTTTAAAAATCTACATTTTATCCACAGACTGCATTGATTTTGAAATTAAAAAAAAGTAAATTATTATTTAATTCTTTTTTTTTTTTTTTGAGGTAAAAACGTTTTCAAATTTTGTAAAATTTGGTTTTCTTTTTCCTGTTGCATAGGAAAGTGGTTTTTTATCTTCAGTTTTTCAACACATTGAACTTTTAAAACAAAATTGGTGGTAGTTTTCAGTCTCGAAGATTTGAATGGAAGCACTCGTGGCTTTAATTTAACTTCAGGGCTTTTTGCAAACATGGCGTCTAACGCAAGATTTGAATTAATTTTTTTTCAATAAATCTGTACTTTGTAAAAACACAAATTGACATTTGGGTGTTAGTCTCATCATTTGTATGTTTTATTTCGGTCTTTTAAAACATATTTTTTGTTTCTTTTAAAGATAAAAAAGGAAATCATTTCTGGGTGATGCTTATGCAAATATATATCATAGCAGTCGCCCTTTACAGAAAAAAGACAAACAAATAATTATTCTATAGCCGCGAGAGGACAACAGTTTGTTTTGTAAAGTGCCCTCTCCTGTATTTCTTCGTTATATAATTTTTATCTAAAAAGCAGAAGCGTAACAAATTAGCTTTAGAGTCATACCCAAAAAATTTGTTACTGAATGTGTATCATACACCCACTCATTCATAATATTTGTCGAGTTTACCCATTCTTTATATTTAACGCTTTCCTATCAACATTTATTGCTTCTGCATTCGTCCAAATTAAGATGAAATGAAACGATGTTCTGTTAGTCTTAGATCCTTGTAAAGTTAATCACAACGTTGCTTTTATCCATTGATTGAAGACGACTGTTGCAGTAGCTATGTACGCTCTCGGGAGAGACCCAAATGTCTACAAAGACCCCGAGGAGATCAAACCTGAACGATGGATACCGTCATCAGAGGAGAGAGATGTTGTGAACCCATTCGCCTTCGTCCCCTTTGGTTGGGGTCAGAGAAGTTGCATAGGTTCGTATGTTGTGTCCTGAATTGCAAGTCTTAGTTCTTTATAAGAATAATTAGTCTCTAAAGGGTCATTTAAACTTGAGGCAGAAAAGAGTACAAATATTGACACAAAACAGCCCCAAGGCTAAGAATTTCAAGACGTAGAAATTTGAATTCTTGTAAAGAACACAACGAATGAACCTCCCCACCCCCTTACCTTTTTACAACCTACTGTGAAGCAATATTAGGATTTGAACCGTATACAATACTTGGAGGACATAATACGTGAAGCGACAATAGTTTTTGCACGTTCAATTTCATTATATTTTGCATGCTTTCAGAACCACAGACTTTGCATACGAGCAAAAACATTTTAAAAAGTATTTTTAAAATCTCTGTTAAATTCACACTGATTGTTTTATTTTCCTTTAGGTAGAAGAATTGCAATGGCAAATGTCCAGCTCCTGTTGGTCGAGGTGAGTTCGGAGATTTCTGTAGCCAATAAGAATAAGCTAGCGTTATAAATGTTCATGTTTCTTGTGAGTGTTACGTTTCAATGGATTTTACGTATGCGTCCGTCAAAATTGACTTTTATGTTAGTTTTTACTTAAATATACATTGATTTTGCTCAAGATTTTCATCATATATTTATGTTGTGTTTACTTCATGGACTGAAACAATAGACACGACATTAAAATGTGAAAACCAAAATGAGACTTTAAATCTCACGACCGTTCTGGTAACAGAAGAAGCTATTTTAGTTTTAGCACTCGCAACACAATCAAGTTGTACAAATCTCCAAGACTTGAGGTGTTACTAGAAAGTAATATACGCAAAAAATAAAGACTGTGGATATTTGATAGGAAAGAAAGGTTAACCACACTAGAGCACCTGCCAATCAATGACATACAAACTAATGGAGTTATAACAACATCTAAGAACAACAGTTGACATTATTGATTTTCTACTCACTTCAGCTCCTTCGTCGGTTCCAGTTGACCAGCGAGACGAAAGAACTGCATTTGGAATCACGTCTCTCGTTAAGCCCACGTCATCCCATCCACCTGAAACTGACTCCAAGGAAATAAACTCCCTCAACCTCATAACACTTGCGTAACTTTTTGACTGTTTTTTTTTTCTTTACTGTTGCTGCTATTTTGTTTAGTATTTTTTGTTTTGGTAGGTGTTTTATGCAGCTCTCACAACTACATAAGGTCTTATGAGCGTGCGGGACACAAAACACTTATTTAGTTTGGTAGTAATCCATTTTGAATTTGCCCTGGTGGCGGCCGAAGCCTACTCTTATCGGTTTTGGTCTACCAATGGATCTTTAACGAACGCAACTTGCACACAGAACCTCCGAGATTTTTCGCCCTTCTCCGGAAAGCTATGTGTTAGATCTAACCTACCCTAAGATACGGGGTTTGGCTGAAAGACAAGAAGTAGCCAAGGAGTAGCAGTAGAAAGGCTACAGAAAGAGACAGGTGCCCAGAGGAGGGTGAAAGGGGGAGGGGTCGGATGGCATAAAGTGGAAACGAAAGCAAAAGACAGAATAATGTTAGAGAGCAGGAAATAAGGTGAAAGAAGAATTTTGAGACGCGGACACCGTAACCTTTAGACCACGAGAGTCCCCCCCCCCTGTCGACTATAATAACTGATATCATATTCACCAAGAACAAACTGTGCAAGTAATCTCAAAAGAGAAATGTCACATTATTTAAACGCATAATAAAGCTACAATGTCCATTATCAGAAGAGTTCCCTTTGTTTTCATTTGCTATCCATGTTTTGTGACCGTTGTAACTAACACCATCGTCATGATTAATTTTTCTGGTCTGTTCATTATTATCTATCCACTTTTCCTCCTGATATCCATATCCTAGTCTCGACATAAACGACAAGAAAAGAAGTACATTAGTCATATGAAAAGCCAACTGGACAAACAATAGAGATAACCATAGATGGGAAGATATTTGAACAAGTACATCAATTCAAATATCTAGGGGCAATAGTCACAGACGACGACGTAAGTGAAAAAGAAATAAATACGATAACAACAAAAGCAAAAACAAGATTCAGACAAATGCACAAACTATTTCATACTGGCAATTATCTCTACCTTTAAGGATGAAAGGGGTGGAGTGCTACATCTTCCCCATATCCCAATAATATTGCGGTGTGACCTGGACTTTTTGTTTTTGTAAGTGTTTTACGGCGCTCGCAACTGCATTAGGTCATATGAGCGCGCGCGACACATTAAATTTTTTCAGTCGGCAGGAAATTTTGAATTTTGCCCGGGTGGCGGCCGAATCCTACTCTTATCGATTTTAGACCACCAAGGGATCTTAACGTGCGCAACTTGCACACGGGCCCTCCGAGATTTTTTGCCCTTGTCCGAGAAGGCTAGATGTAGATCTTTCCTACCAGAAGATCAGGGGTGTGGCTGAAAGACAGCAGTAAGAAGAAGCCAAGGAGTAGCAGTAGAAAGGCTGTAGAAAGAATCAGGAGCCCAGAGGAGGGGGGGCAAAGGAGATGAGGGAGTGGGGGCAGAAAGAGAAGACGAAAGCAGACGACAGAACATTGCTAGAGAGCAGGAAAGGAGGTGAAAGGAGACAAATTTAGAGAAGAAAATGTTTCGGTCACTACCCGGATTCGAATCCGGGACCTTTGAATGAGAGGCCAACACCTTAACCTCTAGGCCACGAGAGCCCCCGACCTGGACTTTGACAAAGAAAGAAGAAAACATAATAGCCCGTGTTTGAAATGCGGTGCTGCCGCAGAATGGCCATAATAAAATTATCTCGAAAGCATCCAAAAAAAAAAAAAAAAGACTAGCAATGAGGTGTATCATATTATCCACACAAGACAAACCCAGATTAATAAGGTAAAATGTAGAAAAATACATGTACTTTTGTCTCATAAAACACCACAACACCATTGTGAAATAGGTTGTTGAAGGAAGGATGTGGGGCAGGAGGGAAGGGGTGGACAAACAGCAACATGAAACAACTTCATGAAAGGGACTGGCCTGACTATGGCGACCTGTAAAACGGCAGCAGACGAGCGTGAGCACAGGAGTGTCATTAGACGCCAACCTTTGAGTCAGAGATGATACCTCCAGATATCAAGGTATTTAAGAATACGGTATGGTGCAGTGGATTACAAGTTTTAGCTGAGGCTCAAAAGTTTGAGGTACGGTTACGGGGTGTCTTATTTCCTCAAGCATATTCGCTCCTCTGGTGAGCTACTGTGTCTCACTCTTTTTAGTTAACTTTAACAAAAGTCGAATCATCTATCCTCAGTAAACATTCATGAGAAATAAAACAACGATAGAAATATTACCAATTTAGAACTGATAGAACAAAGACGAAGCACGAAAGGGGTACTAAAATTAATATCATAATACTAAGAGTTCGCTGCTGTGACGTCACTCGTCTCTGACATAGTAATTAAGACGCGCCGGCCATACCGGTGATGCAGGAATGCCAGTTGGTACGCTACATAAAATATTACATAATATTGCAAGGTGCACACTAGTCACAACAGTATGGTCGAAATAATAGGTCGATAATACGCCTACTTTGTGTGCTTGGATGTGTAAAAGGATACGTACACATATTATATCTTAAGACCTATCTACTGCAGTGAAATTACTTATTTATGTCTAGTGCAGAGTTAGTCAGGTACTGCATTAATGCAGAGATGAGTTAAGTGGTTGCCATAGTATATTGTTGAAAAGAAGCTACTTTTAAAGCATTCAGTTCAAGTGCTGGGATCCGAATAAACATAAACAGCAGACGGTATAATCTCCTGAATGCATACTATTTCTTTTATGTTTTCATGCCTGATGGATTCTCTTTAGTTACTATAAATACTGTACTGTGTTACCCTCATCCCGGATGAAAAGGTATGACGAATGCGAAATAGAACAGCTCAATTTTTAAGACAACAGTAATATACATAATCAAAACGTAAAAATGTTCAAAAAGTCTGTATGATCAATAGCACAATATTAGTATCTCCTTAACAAGCAACACCATTGACGTCGGTATGTTTGGACTTGATATGATATATGATATGATATGATCTGATCTGATCTGCTATGATATGATATGCTATGATATTATACGATATGATATGATATGATACAGACAAAAAGGTAGAAAATCACATATATGGCACAAACGTGGTCAATATTCATGTGAAGGATATACCTCTGAGGTTCCATCGAAAATTAGAATTATCGGAATGTGTGATGCATTACATCAGTGGTCTTATTGCTCACACAACATCCACAGCATACAGTGTAACATTTTATTGACACGAAGTTGTCAAACAGACTAAAACCATGCCCAGGCCCAATTTAAACATAATAAGGACCGAAAGGGGGTGTGGGAAGGGGGGGGGTGTTATCTTCTCTACGGTTTTGTATATAACATGATGGTGAGGGAGTGTGACAAAAACTTCTGACAATACCTCAAAGACCAGAGGGGCAAATTCAATCAATTATGATATTACAGCCTAGAGCACAAGGCATATCCGGAAATTATGTGCCATTGGCTTTGTGTTCACCGAGATTTAAGATCATATAAACACACAGCATATTTCCACCGAAGACAGCAGCGTCAGTCAAATAATAAAGGAATTATGCACGGTCTTCAGCCAGATAGTATTATTAAACCATCCTATAAAACTGATCAGGGACAAATACATCCACAAATATATGGGAACACGCCCTTTAAAAAATTGACGATTTTAATAGTCTTCCTTCATCAGTATGTAGAGAGAGTAGCCAATATGATGTAAAAGCAATCCATTTTGTCAGTATAAAAATGTCCTTTTTACCAATACATTCACTAACTGACTTTGTCTCCCACCCTCACCCCCACAGGAAAAGCAGACACACATTACCTCATAATGATATAGCTATGTCTGTCGTTCATACGTAGCCAGCGGTTAAGTGCAATTATGTTTTCCAAAATCTGTCAGTGCTTGAGGTATTGTGTACGTATGAACGTTACATGATTAAACAACAACAGCAACAACAAAAACTGAACTAATTGTTTACTGTAAGCTTAACGCTTCACACTCTATAAAGACCAGTAGGCGTTGCGAGGGATGTTCAGTGTAATGGGGCTGGTTCTGTACCTCTCCAACATGGCTGCTCAGCGGCCCAGAATGGGCACACGCAGCCCCCGTTCGTTTATGTAGGTGACGTCACAGCCAACACAGCCAAGACCGATAGTTATCGGTCTTGGGTCACAGCTGTGAGCTCTCGCACTATTATTACTTTATAACCTCTTTGGAGCCTGCATAAAAATTCATGAAATACTGTCTGCCTTGCTGTAGAGCAAGCGGAGCTTAAGGTAAACAGTAGTCTGCAGTGTCACAGTACGGCGAGCATATTTTTTTTTAATGACCAGCAGGTATTTTTATTACCAATCCAAGGTAAGTATGTAACATGTAAAATGTTAGTTTTTTTGCTTTGGATTTCTCCTCCAAGATACGGCTTACATAAATAAAAACAACTGCCTTGTCCGATCTGTGGTTTCTAATACAACTTATTACTGTGTGACATATCTATTGCATAATAGTCTGTCAACATAATATCAAAGGCTGTCATTCAATGCATGTTATGATTTTTACCAAGGTCACTTCGTATTTCTAGAGAGCCCTCACTGAGAGACGCGTTGGCCGTGAAGAATTGAGGAGGACATTGATGAAGATGTTTACGATTATGTTGTGAAAATCTTACTCATTTCTTTGTGACCTAAAGTCAATAAGCAAAGAAGCCAAAGTGAATGTGAATTTTCAAATGTACACAGTAATGTTTTAAATGTGGGGTTGCCGTTGAGCAACAAGTTATATACACAAGATTTGTTGAACATTTTCGACAGTCTTGCGAATTTCTTTTTGGTTACATCAGCGTTTCACTGCCGTTTGCTTGATATGATAATAAATAATAAAATACATAGAATGTTGTGGTGACATCTCTAGTGGGAAATTAAAAATTGGCCAAGTATAAAGTCCATCTCTTTTTTCTCGAAGAGTACATAAATGCTTGATTTAAGACTTTTCGGCAGATTTCCTGATTACAGTACACGTATATCTCATTTCTATGGCACTGAATCAAACATCTTTTTTTAAAACTTGCTCCAGTTTGGCTTTACAGAATACAAACCAAGTTTGATTTTATCAAAAATGTATTTGTTGCCTTTTTAATGTAGTCTATAACGTATAACAGACTCCTTCTGTATGGAGTTATAGACTACCTTTATGACTCCCACTTAGCACAGCGTATGTAATGTACACCGTGGTTAAAAATCCACTTTACACGTGCAATGTATCAGTTAAAAGGTTTTGTCAAACAAGTGCTTTACATTGTATGCCAAAGCACATTATCATCAAAGGCAACGCCAAAATCTGGGGAAAATATATCTTACGTTAGAACAATTGGGATCCATTTGTCGGTGGTTGTTTTTTTGTAAATAAAAGTTTTGTTTTTCACTCTACAAACACATGCACCATTTGAAAATACATTTTGTCAGAGAGTTGTAGATAGTGAATATGAGGAGCGTACCAGACAAACACTTATTCGGTCGCTTTTAAGAAAACGGCTGTTTTGAGAAAATCAAAAGTAAAAGTTTTGCCCCTCATTCAGTTTCTTTAAAGGACAAGGAGAGTTTTCTCTGTAACCAAACATAACACCACTGAAACCAAACGTCTCCTATATGCTCACTTTCGGTGTAGGTCAAGATTTCTGGAAATCCGGAAATCTGTGTTAGCCCGCTTGTCCTTGAAAGCGACCATTTAATCAAGCTTCTCTTATTTTCATTGTCCAAAACTCACTGACAAACTAGTTGGCCGACCAGAGTGTGTAGTGTGGTACTGGGCGTAATGATATTGTGTGACTAATGACTACAATTCATCGCACCTACACCCTGAGACGTTATCGTTATCGTGTTTGCTTTGGCAGATATAGTTAGGCCTATCATAGTTCTTTATTTGTGTATGCCTATGTTGTTGGGGTGGGGGGGGGGGGGGGGTTACATCACTTTACAGTAGAAAAGTCCCAACAGCAATATCTGTCGATGAGTTTTACTTACAATTTGATCAGTATTTTTCACTGCTCAGGTCCAATCTACTGGCGAAAAAACAGTCACATATAACGCTTCACTTCTACTCCTGACACTGATCTCAAGAAAAAGGAAGACAAAGCAATTTGATGTTCATAATATGTGTTTTTTAAATATATATATAAAAAAAACCCCAGAAGATACAAAAGTCCTAAACCAATCTAAGGTAGACTTCTTTAGATCTACCAGTCGAAAAAGTAGAAACTATTACCACCTGAGTTATATTATTCTTGGTGTGTTTCTTATTATTTAGCCTAAGTGTCACAAGATTGGAGAGGTGGACATTCGTGGTATGAGCTTTAATCCTCAAAAATATATCATCCTGTGATACACCAAGCGCTTGTAGAAACACAGCTCCTAAAGCCCAAATATTTCCATTGTTTTCCTTTTAAGCAGCTGACTGCTCTAAATATAGAAAGAACATTGTCAGCCCTTTAAATAGATAACCCCCATTTTTCCAACCCATTCGCCACTTAACAAAAATAATTGACTGCGTTTTCCACCATTAAGGAGCAGATACCTACGCGTCTTTTTAGCTGGAACGTTTATTCCTGTTGTTTTAACCACCTGAATTCTTGTTCCATTCGCAAGGTTTGACAGAGTCTCCACTTCTATTTTGCAGCTCACCGTTTCAGGAGGATAAGACCAAATTCTCTGTTAGTGATGTCCAGTGTACTCGGAATCAGGAATGTGATCATAGCCTTGTCCTCTGCTCGATGTTCCAAGTTTCGACAGTCTGATAAGACAATGTTACGGAGACCGCACCTCATCAACAGAATCGCCAGTAGTAACGTCGTTTCTCCTATTCGGGGCGCTAGTACAACAGTGGGAGATCAGGAGTATAGGAATTCAAACCCTGGGCCCACTCTCTCTGATCCTAAACCTTTTTCGTCAATACCTTGTCCTAAAGGATGGCCGATTCTGGGAACTGCTCTCGAAATTGCAAATAATACTGGTGAGTAATTTGTCTCTGTAGTTGTTGGTTTTTTTTTCGGGGGGGGGAGGGGGGGGGGGGTTAACGGAGAAAAGTAGATGTTCATCTTGATCAGCCCTGATTTATGTTATGTCTGTTAAAGTAGTCCTACTAAAGGAATGCGTGAGTCAGTCATAAGGATAGGATACATCTCTCTCTCTCTCTTTCTCTCTCTCTCTCTCTCTCTCTCTCTCTCTCTCTCTCTCTCCCCCCCCCCCCTCTCTCTCTCTCTCTCTCTCTCGTGCGCGCACACTCGCTCTAGTTTACACACACACACACACACACACACACACACACACACACACACACACACACACACACACTCACGCACCACGCAAACACACACTGACATTCACACACACATACACATACACATACACATACACATATAGAGCGTGTGAGAAAGAGATAGAGAGAGAGGAAGAGAGACAGAGAGAGACACAGAGAGAGAGAGCGAGAGCGAGAGAGAGGGACACACAGAGAGAGAGACAGAGAGAGCTGGAGTCTTTGACATACATGTAAAATGTAAAAATAAAGAAGTGGTACTACTATTCAACTGTTCTCTATAGTATTCATAAAACAGTGTGTATTTTGGGTGTTTGTGTGTTTGCGCACGTTCAGAACTGAAGCATTTATTTATCGGGTGCCACCTATACAATGAGCAATTAAGTGTGCAGATTTTAGAGCTCTTCCCCGGTAGCAAACCCGCTCGTGCTTCCAAGCCCCTAGTTCAAGTCACAAGTCTAAAATCACTAGATCAAATCATCAAATCAAATCACCAGCATGATAAGTTGAGTCTAGCCTAGCCAAGCAATTTGCGAAGCCACTCGTGTGTCAGACCCCCTCATCCTCCCTCCCTGCTTGCAATCCGCGAAGCCACTTACGTCAGAAAAAGAGAGATCGGGTGAGAGAGAGACCCCGCTCACAATGTCACTGCGCAGCAGTACAGATGCATGAATTGTCCAACAATAGCACTGAATTGGCGTCGGTGGCCAAGTGGTTAGGCTCTCAGACTCGCAACCGTAAGGTCGTGGGTTCGAATCACGTCAGGGGCCTTTGGAGGGGCGCTTTACACGAACTCTCCTCACTTCACCCAGTTGGGCATGGGCAGCCATAGACAGCGAAAGATCTTGTCAGTTAGTTAGTGTAGGACCGCTTAGTTTAATCCGCTGCTTGCACTGTATGCTTCTCTGGAAGCTGAGAATGTTTCGGAGAGTTTTATAATCTGCTGGGGTAATAATACAGTCTGTACAAATGCTATTTATTATTATTAAGACACATAATACCCTGATACGTTTATTTATGAATTAGACTCAGTTCTCATCAGCCCAGTTTATTTGTGATAAGCAGGGTTGAAGCCGCCTCTTACATTATCTAAAGTGTGTCGATGGGGTTAAAAACACCTACACATTAGTTAACTGCCACTTTCTCTCTTTCAGGTAAAGTGCACCTCCTTCACTGCCAGAGAGTCAAGGATTATGGTCGAATTTGGCGGGAAAAAGCAGGAGCAATGGATTTCGTTATGGTGGCATCCGCTGAGGCTGTGGAGGATCTCATTCGGTACGAACAGGCTGATGACGTCATTATCTTTTTTCCTCCTTTTTTCGTTATAATTTTTTGCTCTTTCTTGATGCACTTTTCTTCCTTCGCCTCAATGTTTACTATTTTAGTCTTTCTTCTCTGCCGCGTTTCAACCACCATCACCACCATCATTATGATCGTCATCCATCTATCTGTCAGTCTAACTATCTCACTGTCTGTCTGTTTTATCAATATATCAAACAGTGTCTTCGAGATTTTGTCTGCCCGCCTGTTAGTCTGTTTGTCTGTTTCTTCGTTTTCCTGTCTCTTAAAAGCTATCTCTCTCTCTCTCTCTCTCTCTCTCTCTCTCTCTCTCTCTTTCTTTCTTACTGACTCTCTTTCTTTCTCTCAAACGAAATTACCTTAGATTTAAAGCAACTTTTTATTCCATTCTCAATAATTGGCCTCTAGTTCATTGGCCCAAACTGTTCGATTTGTTTGCTTGGCTTAAAGAGAAGACTTAGATTTTTCGATTATTATGATCGTGGAAGAGGTAGATATTCATGGTATGAGCTTTAATCCTCAAAATATCATCCTGTGATACACCAAGCGCTTAAAGAAACACAGCCCCAAAAACCCAAATATTTTCATTGTTAACCTTTTAAGCAGTTGACTGCTAAAAATGTAGAAAGAACGTTTTATCGCTTTGTTACCACGAGTGCCAGTACCAACAGACTCCAATTAATAAATAATAATAAGAGTTCATTTTTGTTTGACAATCATTCACTCTCTTTCAGAAATGAAGGTGATATCCCATATCGAAGATCACATCATCTGCTTGCAGAATACTATAGAGTAAAATCTCAACCAGAAGCCATCTTGGTGTCGTGAGTGACAATTTTGTTATTACACCCCAGTGAAAAGAGGAGGACAAAACCGACCTAAACGCTCTACCCAGTTTTTAATCTTTCGGCCACTAGTGGTCTAGTTTTTTTTCTCACTATTGTACTATGCAGATTGCTCGTCTACCTTTTTGCTTTATCGAGGTAGGGAAAACGAGAACAATTTTTAATTTTTTTTTTAGATTAAGAAAGAAGTAAATTAATGAGTACTTTATTTTCCTAAAGATATTAGTGATTCATTCTGCTTTGCCTTGCTAAGCAAGGGGTAGATAAAACTGCAATACATATGAAAATGCCTATCTGTCTTATTTCAAATTCGGATGTTTTAGTACTTTGCATCTGAGGGACGTCGCCTTTGTCAAAATCCCCTCTTAGTCTCATTTAGTCATGCAACAGATTTAAACTTTTAAAAATACGTACGTTTATTTACAAAAATTACTGTATGTTCGCAAGCTTGCTTGAAGTAAAAGGTCTCAAGTTGTCCCTGTATCTAAACTACCATAATCTGATTCTGTTCACCTTACTTCAAACTAGCAATGGTGAAAACTGGCGTCGTATGCGGAGTGTTCTCGAGAAGCCAATCCTCAAGCCCAGTTCGCTGAGTAACCACGTGACCTCAATGCGTGCCGTGTCTTCGGACTTTTTGAACAGACTGGACACGTTGCGAGATGACCGTGGTGACGTCAATAACATCGACTCCGAGTTGTTAAAGTGGTCACTGGAAGGTGAGGCTGCGAAACAGTGTTATTGTTGTTGTTGTTGTTGTTGTTATCGACCCAGCAACAGCTGGGCTCTCGCTGTTCTGTCCAATGCCATGTAGTGATACGTGCAGGTTTTCTGCAGTTGCTGTAATGTTCCATAGAGTTTGTTGTCAATGTTAGGTCTGAGAGGGAGAAGGGTAGCTCTGATGTCATTTAGGGCTTTGCAGTGGAACTGGTGACGATGCGAAGTCTCATAAAAATATGCGTAGTCACACAAGGGACACATTGGGGGAAGTTCTTGATTTATTCTGCTCAAGTGGAAGTTGAACTGTATAATCTGTTCGAAGGCGGAAGATCATGGCCAGCTTCTTTCTCTGTAGGTGGTTGATATTGTCATTCCGTTTTTGTTGGGGTCATATGTTTGAAAACTGCTCTGTCTGTCTTTCCCGGGGCCAATTTGTTCATCCAATCTTGTTTGTTATTGCTTTTAATGATCTGTTTTGACTGTTGTATGAAGATGGAATGTTGGGTTGTTCCTGTCTAGATCCCCGTTTGGCAAGCGTGTCTGCTCTGTCATGTCCAGGTATGTTTAAGTGTCCGGGGACCCACTGCATTATCAGGTTGATGCCGCAGAATGTTATCAGATGATGGGAGCCAAACAGTATATGAGTCAACTCTTGGTTTAGATTATGGTCATTTTTCATCGCTTGCAAGAGTGATAGTGAGCCAGTGAAAATCACAATACTCTGTGCTTTTCCAGGATGAGAGTCAAAACTGTGCGGAGATGGTACAGTGCTGTTTCAATTACCATCATTTCTGCATCATAGTTGCTGTAAATTGTCTCTACTGGCTGCAGAGATCTCACTGGAACTTCTATCTGGGCACTGTATTAATATTCCATATCCGGCTTTTGTTTTGCCTTTGAATGCTGAGCCGTCTGTATAGACGTGTATCCAGTCATCTGAATAGCTGTCGATTGTTTGCAAGCATCAGCGTCACTGGGTCTGAAGATTTTGTGCTATTGTCTCTGAGAGATGTTGTAAAGGCTGGCTTTTTAAAAGAAAGGTGGGGAGAGATGTTTTGGTAGACTCTTTTGGTTTCTTTTCTGTTTTGTGGTAGATGGTGACTCTCCATTAGTTCTGTGATATGGTGCATTACTGACTTGTGTTGAATTCGTTTCTTTGGTTTCCATGTGTCTATTAATTTCCTGTTTGGGTGGTTGGGGCACTTTCTTTTGTTTCTTTCATGTAGCTCCAAAAATGCTTTATCTCTGCGGATTCCCAGGGGTTCAACATTTGAAAGGGTTTCAAATGCAGCGGTAGGTGTGGATCTCCTGCCACCATATATGGAGCGGGGTTAATTATTTTGGACCTTGTCAAGGGTTTTGCAAGCAGTTGTACTGCACATAGTGAGTAAGCTATTGCTGTATTCCAGGGACGATCGGACATAACCAAGGTATACAGCTCTCAGAGTTTGTTTGTCTGATCCCCATGAACTGCTTACGAGTTTCTTTAAAAGCTGGAGTCTTTTGTTCTCCTCTTGGCTTTTCATGGTTAGACTGGTCACGTTTGACTCCTAGCTATGTTGGTTGATCTTCTTTGGGGAGATTTTCATTTCCTATCTTCAGTTGGAGATTTTATTTGGCTGTTTTATGGCTCTTTGTAAAGACGGTGTATACCGTTTTTGTGCCGTTTATTTTAAGTTTCTATTTCTGACAGTAATTGTGGAGCCTCTTGAGATCTTCATTTAATAATCCCTGCTCCTACTACCGTGCTGTGATGTGTCTACCAGAGAGCAAGATCATCAGTGTAAAGTGTTTTCAAATTTCAGCACGTTCGTTACATCATTTTAGAAGAAAAGGAACAAAGTGCAACCCAGACAGGAACCTTGGGGTGAAACAGTGTTGTTACTGAAGACAGAGAAAAATTATGGTGTGTCAGGGGATTCCTCGTGACACTGTTTCTAAGAATAGAACTACGACTACTGTGAACAAGAAAAACTTAATACAGATAGACACTCGTAATGTATTTCAACATAACTGTCCCAACTTAAGAATTGGCTGTATTAACACCCAGTCGTGCTGCAACAAAACAAACATTGTAAGAGACGTAAATGAAGAAATGAACATCGACTTGTTGTGCATCACAGAAACTTGGCTTCGAACAGAAGGCGATGAATCTATCATAGCCGACCTTCTACCACCCGGCTTTGAACTTAAATCTTTTTCACGCGGATCACGTGGTGGCGGAATTGCTTTTATTCATCGGCGAGGTTTACCAGTAAAGTTCATCTGCGGTGGTCCATCGTATCGCACATTTGAATCAGCCACTGCTTTCATCAGATCAGAGCAACTTACCTTCCGTGTGACATGTATCTATCGACCGCCACCTAACAAGAAAAATAAATTTACAAGTAAAGAATTCTTCATAGAATTCCAAGATCTACTCTTTCAACTAGAGCAAGCTGCCTCCCCCTTTTACATCATAGGGGATTTCAACTTTCACTTTGATGTTCCATCTGTACCAGACACCAAACGCCTTGTTTCAATTCTTGATGATCATAATCTACAGCAGCTAATCAAAGAGCCGACACATCGTAGTGGTCACATTTTGGACCTGCTAATTACCAACACTGCTGACCAACATGTTCTTAAACATCAGGTTTTAGATAAGGCTATCTCTGACCATTCTCTTCTGATAGCTAACATTAACATCTCCAAACCAAAACACGTAAGAAGAAGCATACTTTCAAGGAACACGAGAACAATAGACACACAGGCACTTCGGGACGACGTGAGCAAAACACTGACAAGTCTATCCTCCCTAGATGCAGACACATTTCATGACACTCTCAAAGCGGCCATCGACCAACATGCGCCAATGGTAAAAAGAAACATTTCATCGAGACCCTTTTCTCCTTGGTTTTCACTTGAAATCAAAGAGGCCAAGAAACATCGACGTCAGGCAGAACGCAGGTGGAGGAAATCAAAACTTCAAGTTCACAGAGACATCTTTATTAACCACCGAGACAAAGTCAACTCAATCATCGAAAATAACAAGAAAAAATACTATCTACATGAATTACAAGATGTTAAATCACCCAAACAACTCGTTCAGACTACCAATGCTATTCTGGGAAAAGAAACAATATCTCCTCTCCCCTCTGCAACATCAGATGACGAACTTTGTAGTTTATTTGTGACTTTTTTCAATGACAAAATTAATACCATACGCTCTTCTCTCGACCTAGAGCCAAATGGAAATTTGGAATTTTCAGAATTTACTGGACAAATATTAGATTCTTTTAGTCCAGTTACAAATAGTGATATTTTAAATTGTATTAATGGGTCAACCATAAAAACATGCGACCTTGACCCAATGCCTGCTCATGTATTCAAAACCTGTATTGATATTGTCCTACCTCACATTACTCAGATAGTGAATATGTCACTTGCCACTGGCACAGTACCTAATACTTTCAAACAAGCTATTGTAAAACCTTTATTGAAAAAAACCCGGGCTTGATAAAAATGAATTTAAAAACTATCGACCAGTTTCGAATTTGCAATTTGTCTCAAAAATTCTAGAGAAGATTGTTTTAAGTCAAGTTTTGTCTCACATGAGAAAAAATGGTCTTGAGGAAATTTACCAATCTGCCTATAAAACTCATCATAGTACCGAAACTGCGCTTTTAAAAGTAACGTCTGATTTATTGGATTCCATTGATAGCAAAAACATCTGTCTTTTAACTCTTTTGGATCTGTCCGCAGCTTTTGACACAATTGACCATGCTATTCTACTCACAAGACTTGAGCGCTCATTTGGCTTATCGGGTACTGTGCTTTCATGGTTTAAGTCATATTTACTAGAAAGAGTTCAGTCAGTGCAAATTAAAAATAGCTTTTCAAAGCAGGTCAGGCTCGATTATGGAGTTCCACAGGGGTCCGTTCTTGGACCAGTGCTCTTTACACTATATACACAGCCCTTAGCAAGCATTTTACAAAATCATGGATTGAATTATCATTTTTATGCCGATGATTCCCAAATGTATGTTAATGGCACCATTCAAGATCTACCAAACATGATTTCCATCACTAAACAATGTTTTTATGAAATCAAAAAGTGGATGACAGTAAACAAATTGAAACTAAACGAAGAAAAGACAGACATCATTCTTATAAAAAATCCACGATTAAATAAAGATCTGGAAAGTGTCAACTTTGATTTATATGGGCATATGACATCTAGTAAAGAAGTTGTCAGGAATCTCGGTGTATATATTGACCACCACTTATCAATGGGCTCGTTTGTAGGATCTCTGTCCAAATCCCTTTATTTTCAGCTGAGAAGGATATGCCTAGTTCGAAAGTACTTAAGCGAAGAGACCACAAAAACACTGGTAACATCTCTTATCCTATCTAGATTAGACTATTGTAACTCACTCCTGGCAGGTCTGAACAACAAATATTTGAATCGTTTACAAGTAATTCAAAACAATGCCGCTAGACTGATAACAAGATCTAAAAAACGAGACCATGTCACTCCATTATTAAAAGAACTGCATTGGCTCCCTGTAAAAGAACGAATAATATTTAAAATCTGCGTCATGTGTTTCAAATGTGTAAATAAAACTGCTCCTTTTTATCTACAAGAACTTATCAGTATATATAAACCAGGGAGAAACCTAAGATCATCGAACGATAACACCCTACTTGTGACACCTGTAAAATCATACAAATCATATGGAGAGAGATCTTTCTCATATCTTGGTCCATTTATGTGGAACAGATTACCCATGAAACTAAGACAAATAAGAACACTTGATAGCTTCAAAAGACATCTTAAACATTTTCTGTTCCTACAGGCCTATCCTTCATAAGCTTTTAACGTTATCTTTCATTACATTTGTTCTTTTCCTATGTCTGGATGAAAATAGTCTGTGTGTGTGTGTGTGTGTGTGTGTGTGTGTGTGTGTGTGTGTGTGTGTGTATGTGTGTGTGTGTGTGTGTGCATTAATGTATATTGCTTGAGAAGAAAGGAAGTAGTAAGAAAGGTTTTTGAAAAATGGGTATTCCAATGTAAAGCGCATTGAGCTACTTTTTTTGGAAATGCGCTCTATAAATGTTATATATTATTATTATTATTATTATTATATGATACCATAACTTTACGCTGCGGTAACAAAATGCACTGAAATAACTAGCTAGTATAAAAGAAATGGGATCTTTTAAGATTATTCTTGGCCGCAGATCAGATTTCCTCTAATTGAGAAATAATCATGAAATGATCTACTTTTGAATCCCCTTATACTCTGGTGTCCAAAAATTTACATTTTCTTATATTATGTTGTCGTTTATAATAATGTTAAAAAATGTGGAATTATGTTCGAAATAGTGTAGTGCTGATACCATGGAAAATCTCAAAAGCCTTACACATGATCGTTTTCAGTGCTGTTCCATCCAAGCTTATTTTTTAAAAAATGAACTCTTTACCCAGAGTTGCACAGTATCCTTTATACTTATATAGGGGGCTCTCGTGGCCTAGAGGTTAAGGTGTTGGCCTCTCATTCAAAGGTCCCGGGTTCGATTCCGGGTAGCGACCAAAAAATTTTCTTCTCTAAAATTGTCTCCTTTCACATCCTTTCCTGATCTCTAACAATGTTCTGTTGTCTGCTTTCATTTCCACTTTCTGCCCCCACCCCTCACCTCCTTTGCCCCTCCTCTGGGCTCCTGACTCTTTCTGCAGCCTTTCTATTGCTACTCCTTGGCTCCTCCTAACTGCTGTCTTTCTGCCACACCCCTGGTCTTCTGGTAGGAAAGATCTACACCTAGCCTTCTCGGACAAGGGCGAAAAATCTCGGAGGGCCCGTGTGCAAGTTGCGCACGTTAAAGATCCCTTGGTGGTCTAAAATCGACAAGAGTAGGCTTCGGCCGCCACCCGAGCAAAATTCCAAATTTCCTACCAACTGAAAATATTAGGTGTGTCCCGCGCGCTCATATGACCTATGCAGTTGCGAGCGCCGTAAAACCCTATACTAAACAAACAAACAATACTTATATGGGTGGCGTTTGGTCATTTCAGTGCAAGGATCTATAAAGCAAAAGTATAGTCTTTTCAGAACGAATAAATTACTACTTGTAGTATTATCAATCTACCTAGAGTAAGCCGTACTGGATAGAGCGAAAAATTCATTGTATCTAAATGTTAGTGTGTGATTATGTACAGTGAGGAAGATGAATACTCTTGGAAGACAGACAGATAGATAGACAGACAGACAGACAGACAGACAAACAGACAGACAGACAGATAGACAGACAGACAGACTGGCAGATTTGGACTGATAAATGGATGAACAGAGAAAGGAAGTATATATAGTGAGTTTGTCAGGTATTAAATTTTAATGTCCTCTTTCTGCAGCTGCTGGTGTCGTTCTCTACAGTAGAAGACTGGGCTGTCTGTCTCGTGATCCCCCGCCAGGCATCGAGGAGTTTATAGAATCTGTGGGTCAAGTAAATACACTACTAAGTACTTCTCGAACGTACCCTTTGTTCATCCTTAAGACACTGAAGAGGAAACTATGGAACCAGTTCAATAAAGCGTGTGATAAGTCCTTTGCTTTTGGTGAGTTGTGTTTGGGTGTTGTGTACGCTCTTTTCTAACCATTGAGGGAACATATATATATATATAATATGCATATGTTTTTTTTTCTCCCTGCATTCTTTAACAGTTTTGTTCCTTTGATTAGTTTTAGTATTGACGCAGTTTTTAAAATTCCTTTTGTTGGAATGGAAAATAATAATTCCATAAGGAAAGTTCAGACTACATACCATAATTATCTAACGCAAAAAAGAGTCTTCAGAACATCACAATATTGTCATATGCTTTACGAGTACTTCATGTGCTGTTTAATCCAAAGTTTACGTATTTTGCAAGTTGAGTTGATTCACAAGTTCGCTAAAATATATACTTACCGGCAAAAGTAATGCGAATTCACATGACACAAGAAGAGGAGGGTAAATTGAAGCAATATTTTTATTTAGGGAAACAGGTTTGAGGTATCTCAAATTGCACAAAACAATGCTTGAGTGTTGGGGATTAGCTTGGGGACAGATTTTGTTATTCGGCATCAATGACCTTTGACCTTGGAGCTTAAGTTCAGGTCTGTACCTGGTATGGTCTTCATTAGCGTTGATGACAGCAATGCATCGGTGGTGCATTGAGTGGACCAAGCGATTGATTTGGCAGTTGGGGACCTGCACTCATTCCTGAAGAATAGCAGCACCCAGTTGTGTAGCTGTCCGGGGTCTGGGCTAGAGTTGGTTGAGGCGCCTCTGAAGGATGTCCCAAGGGTGTTCTATTGGGTTCACATCTGGTGATCGGGGTGTGTGAGGCATGGCAGCTATGTTGTTCTGCACCAGGAACAACCTGGGTAGTACGTCCTGCTTTATGAGGCCGGGTGTTATCCTGCTGAAAGAGGCTATTCCAATGTCTCTGGAATAAATGGAGTTGCACGGGGCTGCAGGACTTGGTTGATGTAGTGCTGTGCCGTCCCTCCGTTGTCACGTCCAGGTCCTAAATTTTGGAAGATTATGGGGCCCAGTCTTTGATTGGTACTGATTGCGTCCCATATCATCACGCTTTGACCTCCCCACGGATCTCTCTCCCAGATGTTCTCGTCAGAGTAGCGTTGTCCGGGTCGGCACTAAATTCGGATCCGTCTATTGTCAGGATCAATGCTGAAGCGACTCTCGTCGCTGAAGATCACACACTGCCTCTGTCGATGACGCCAGTTAACGTGATTCTGAGCCAAATGGAGACGAGCTCGTCGATGATGGACGTTCAGGGATGCTCTCTGCTCCGTACGCCGAGAACGCAGCTCCCTGGCCACAAGTCGGCGGTGTATAGTGCCGTCACTCACGGATCTACCGTGCGTTCCTATGGTGTTCTGGGCTGTCTCGGAGGCAGACAACGTGGATCTCGGAGAAGTTGACGCCCGACGAAGCGGTCTTGGGCAGCTGTTGTCAGTAGAGGTCTGCCGCTTCTTTGGAGATCTCTCGTGGAGTTGGTTGCCTGGAACCTGTTTTGCAGACTGTAGATAGTGCTGGCATGCACTCCCAGGACAGTTGCTAACTGCTGAGGGCTCTCAACGGCTTGCAGATGTCCAATAGCTCTTTCTCGATTTTCCGCAAACAATCTTGGCATCTTGATAGTCGGACTATGCAACACTCAATCAAACATTTTTGGGCAGAGCATTTATGGGCCAGACCAACTTAACATGTGAGCAAACATTCACGATTCAATTCACGTTTTAACTGCGTACCATTGAGAGGGTTGCTTTGTTGTATTGTTTGATATATAAGCGGCCATTGAGCGTGTTGTGTTTCTTAAATCGAGCCAATCCAATAACAAGAACCCGTTGTGAATAGAGACAAATGAAAACAACGTACGAAAATACTCAGTTTTGTTTTCTACGCATTGTGTTACTTTTTTGCGTTATTTATACCGGTCAGTATAAATGTAATACTTATTTGTTGGAAGATAGGCTAAAGAAAATTATGTTGTTGACGGTGATGCATTTTTTTTTTGCGGTTGCCATCTCAGAGTTTGCTTCAGTTGTATTTGCGCTGTGTCTGCTAAGACAACTCATATTTCATTTCCATTATTTTCCCTACGTCTCCGCAGTTCAATTGTTATATGTAGTAATGAATGTATGAGCGAGGGATTGAGAATAATGATAAATTGACATGATACAAGGGAAATATTGATAACATTATATTTCGTGTGACAGAAGCCAGTGAAAGCACACAGTCTTTTTTTTACAATGCAGGATCAACAGAGTTGATCATATTATTATCTTGTCTTTACTAAGTAGGCTCACGGCTGCGGAAGTGAGCCTCGAAAAGCAGAATAACCGGATTGGACCTTGAATAGTTTGTTCCTGGTCAATATTGCGAGGATGTGTCCCTTACCGGGTTTTTGGGGTGATTTGGCGGTCGCTCTGGTTTGGTTTGCCCCTTCGTCCCCATCAAACGTATTATTGTCCTTATATTATTATCTCTTCCTTCTATTTTGTATACGATACTATCAAGTACACCTCTGATCTTCGGTACTTTTAGAACCTCTTTGTATTGTAAGTGCCGTAAAATTCTTGCTAAAACTAAAACTAAAATAGTTTACCTGGTCTTTTCGACATAGCCTGGCAGTCGCAGTTTGAAGGTTTGATAGTCAGACTAATATCAAGTAACGACCAGTTCTCGCTATCTGGTCTCAAATGTACATACTGCTATGAAATAGTAATTTGTTATCTTTATATAGAAGCCTGTCCTGTATGTTTAGCGACGGATTCAAAGTAGAATTTTTATTTTTAATGGGAACTTGATATGTTTTGCCAGTGACCTCTCGCTAGGTGTCTGTTAAATCCTTCTCGAGTCGGTACATCACCGTTGTAGAATGTTGTAGTTGTTTTCTTGACATCAGCTTACATCGTGTGTTGAAGGGATAGTGGAAGGTACACAAAGGTGTCTATTTTCCCAAGGATATAACGTCGGGTCCACTACAGGATTCGTACCCACGGTTGCGCGTCTGAGAGCCTAACCACTAGACCACCGACACCTCAATATCGTCATAATATTGTCAGTCCAGCAACCCTTTAACTTAAATAGCTTTCATTTTCATAGGTTCCATGGAGCGCAAGGCTTTGTACAACTGATATCTCTCATTTTTCCTGATTGCTGGTATGTTTGTCTTTTCTTTATTATAAGGGATATAGGCTTATCAGTGTAGACAACCCTGGTTTGTTTACGGATAGATGTGTGAGGTTTACATCTTTACACTTTAATTTGATATTCTTTCTCCCCAAAAAGGATATTTAAATTTGAAAACGATTCTCCTTTCAGTCCAAAGAGAAATCAACAAAAGTCTTGAGGAACCCGAGGCACAGTCCCTGGTCTCCCACGTCATGGCAGGTGGAACTCTGACGTCAGCAGAGATGTACTCAAACGTTTCAGAGATAACACTGGCGTCTGGAGACACAGTAGGTGACGTCATAGCAGTTTAAGCACACTTCCTGGTATATCACAAGGATATACTGCAACCCTGGTATTTTTTGCGGGGCTCTTTGAATGGGTATGCTTTTAAATCATTTGGTATTATAGTGCGACGGGGTTTAATGTCCCGATAACTCTTGTTCAAATCACCTCATAAACAATTGATTGACGATGAAGATGAGGATGTTGATGATGATAATGATGGTGGAGGGTGTGTATCATACTCATGTTCTTGATTCCATTATGTCTCTTATTAGATAAATGATTATTATCGCTCTCCTATCATTTCGTTCGTCCTTAAAAGAGAAAAAAGAGTTAAAACTTGAATCCCCTCCTTTCAAAAAACCTAACTACTACTACTACTACTACTACTACTACTACTACTACTACTACTACTACTACTATATGTACTAATAAATAGCGTTTATGCTGCGAGTTTCCATTTTCTCAAAAAATGCTCAATGCGCATTACATAAAAAAGACTTCACATCTTAAAAATGAATCGACATTGTAGGCAAAACACAGTATTGTATATATAAATATATAGATATACATCATATAACATTCTATGAGAAAAAACAGTCTCGCAGTGAGCTTGGCAATGCGTTCACTAAAAATAAACAACAAGGCAATGAAAATTCAGGTACGGTCACAGTAAAATTGAAAGTTGAATAACCACAAATATTCATTAAAACATTAGTTCTCTATAAATAGAAAGGCATTTCCGCTCTCTCTCTCTCTCTCTCTCTCAATCTCTCTCTCTCAATCTCTCTCTCTCTCTCTCTCTCTCTCTCTCTCTCTCTCTCTCTCTCTCTTTCTTTCAGTCTCACACGCTATTTCTTCAGTCTCACAGTCTGGCATATACATGCATAGAGCTCATCATTATGACAGGTATGCATTTGTAAATAAGAAAACCTTCAGCTGTTTTTTGAAATTGTAAATTGTTGGGGCACATCTTATTTTATTTGGGAATTTGTTCCATACCGTGGGACCATAGAACAAAAAGGAACGTTCGACGTATGTTTTGTCATTTTGATTTGGAGTTTTAAGAATTGGATTGTCAGAGGCTGATCAAAGGGCTCTTGGTGGATAAAATAATTCCTACATTTAAAAACATAAAACGTCAGTTTTGCATTTGATCCATTCTTTTAATAGCAGCCGCTGTAGTTCTTTCAGAATTGGTGTTATGTGCGCTAATTTCTTTTGTTTCATTACCAATTTTGCTGCTTGATTTTGGAGTACTTGTAACTTTGACAGGTTTTTTGGCCGTCAAACGGGATAAAATAGCATTACAGTAATCTAGTTTCGATAAAAATCAGTGTTGTTACTAATGTTTTGGCTGCTGCTTTAGTTAAATAATTTCTTACACCGTCAATTTTCTTAAGCTGAAAACAGATGTTTTTGCTGAGCTGACTAATTTGGGAGGACTATGATTTATGTAACTAAAAGCACGTTGTGTCTATGTCTTAATAGACTTCCACCTGGGCCCACTTCATACTGTGGGAGCTCTGCCATCGTCCGTCACTCCAGGAAAAAGTGTACCAAGAGATCATGTCTGTTGTCGGAGAAAACGAAGAAATCTCTTACTCCACTCTGAGTAAGCTGAAGTACACCACGGGGTTTGTGAAAGAGATTCTTAGGTAAGTCACGCAGTCTGTTGTTAATTTTTTATCATTGTAAATATGATACGCTCCTATCATATTTAGATCATTTCGAAGGCCAGCTGCTTTGAACACATCTGTCGGGTCGAACAGGCTAGGATGGATTACAGTGTCCTTTCTGACAGGCAGGGCTATTCATTAATACTACTTTAGTATAGCTTTATTCATAGATTTACGGCACTTGCAAAACAATGGGGTCTCATAAGTGCCGAAGATTAGAGGTATAAAAAGAGAAACAAACACAAAAAGAATAAGGAGAAATCAGGACAATACATTTTTGATAGGAAATAAGGAGCAAATCAAACAAGAGCACCTGCCAACAACGCACATTAATATAATAGCTTTTCATGCCAGGAAATCTAACTAACGACCTCCATTTACCCTCTGAGCTGATTCACAGTATCATTTGATATTGCTTGAAATAAGCGCAGAGCTTGAGCCTGATAGCACAGACGCATTTTTAACTTAAAATTTCAAAGTTCTGTCTAACATTTTCTCTCGTATAGAGTTATTAAGCTAGCCTCTGTGTTTGTTGCCATTTTTTTGGTCCAAAAGTTGCCAAAGGTTGCCACAAAAATGGCAAAAGTTGCCATTAAGGGGGGGGGGGGGCTACAACCCCAAAATCAAAATTCGGCTCAAAATCATGGAATTTGAGTTGTAGGCACTTTTAGCTTCCTCAGCCTCTCCTACAACTATTTCATGGCATAAGAACCCCCCAAAACAGTATTTTTTCCCATACCGGGCATGTTTGTAACCGCCGTTTCCTCATAAAGTCAGTATTTTATTTTTCATAATCGGCCGTTTTCTCAAAATGCGACTTTTCTCTATACTTTTTTAAATAACTCCACCATTTTTCATCCAATCTTCATGAAATTTTCACAGAATGAAGAGAAGAGGTAATACTAAAAATTTGTCTTTTGAATGTTTGATATATAGAATAGATTTTTGTTGGTGGTGTCTGGAGTGTGGATTTTTACGTATTTTTCACAAACTTGAATGCTACCTCAGGAAAAAATTCATAAAAAATTTTCTAATTCGATTAGGAAAAAAACAACTGACAAATTTTTTGATCTAATGTTTGTAAACACTCATGCAAAAAAACAATCAATTTTCATAAGCGATAAGTGCGGTATTCATTACGTAAGGCATGTCAATAAAATCCAATGTGGCGGCGTATCCATGGAAAGGAAACTTTTTTCTCAAATTTGATTGCGGATTTTAAGGCTCCTTACTATGCTTGTTATATGTGTGAAATTTGGTAAAATTCGGTCCTGTAATAAGCGAGATAGCCTCCAGGTGTAGCCCCCCCCCCTTAATTTTCAAACTTTCAACTCTCCGTGACGACGTATACATATACTAATAGCAATTAATAAAGGCAACTTAATCTAAAACACCACAATTTCTTTGTTTTAAGCATTTAATTTTATAATAGCCACACAAAGTGTAAAAACGTGAAAAATAACGATTTCACAACAGAATGAAATCAAAATTAGAACAGCACATAAACGACCACAAAGATGAACAAATAAGGGCGTGTGTCCACCTATCCGAAGATTGGCCGTTTGAACCCTAACTTGTCTAATTCAAGAAAAAGTATAGGATATTACATGTAAATTATGGAATCACACGCAAGGGGCCTGCCTGTGTCGTATTCGGTTTAGGTGGAGACACTCTCACTCTCTGACATAACACATTTATATTTTAAAAAAGGTAGGAACAACATAAAATTAAATGACACTACGTCATATAAAAACAAAAAATCGAAAACAACAGATCGGAACACTAGCAAGAAAAAAACCATGACAAAGAGGGAAAAATGAAAGAGAAACAGCAATGTTAATAGTATGTAATATACTTATTATATTCTTCACATGTAAATAACAAATCAACGTGGCGTCAATAAGTGAGAAAGAGGCGAAGAGAAGCGAAAGTGAAAATAAACTGTCTTTCTAAAAGATCTAAAGAGGTTTGGTTTCTTTTTGTCTTTTTGGGGGATTTTTATTCTCCTTTTTTTCGAATTTTTATTCCCCGGCGGTGGTTAGGCAACCGGACACTTAAGTAATCGTGATGTTGCGAGTTCGGGGGTTTGAGCAGCGGGCCTGATGTTGTGTCCTTGGGAAAGGCACGTTACACGAATTTTCCTCACTTCACCCAAGTGGAAATGGGCATCCGGTCATAGACAACGAAAGATCTTGTCAGTATGTTAGAGTATAAGCGCCTATAAATGACCGCTTGCACTGAATGCTTCCCAGGAAGTTGAGGTTGTTTCAGAATGCTCTCAGGTCTGCTCGGGTAATACAATAGATTGTGAAGTGCACAGATCTTGCAGTTGAGCGAGTATTTGCGCTATACAAATGCTATCTGTTGTTTGTTTGTTTTTTAAAATTAATTTAATATTCTTTTTGTGGAAAAATGCAAAAAAATTCGGCCGCGATTCGAGGACAAAAAAACAACAACAACTAAAATCCGCGACAAACGCAGATGCTAGATTAAGACAGTGAGGTCAGACATCAAATGCTCTATTGGCTCCATCAAAATTATAAGATTTTTCATGTGTTATCGAGGTATTAAGATAACTGCATTCGAAAAGTCTTGACACGTTGTGAAACTCAAAAGTTTTAACGTCAAATGTCTCGAAACTAGGAAACTAGGTAATGACCAAATACAACTTTGTAATTCAAAGGAAACAGCATGTATATTTTTGTTGTTGAAGAAGTTAGATTGCCTAAATTATTATATAGCATTGCAGAGAGTAGTGTTATGCTATGACAATAATTTGAATCGGATTAGAAGATTTTTTATAACTCAACTCTTGCGTTCACAGTGAAAATGATGTTTTTTGAGTAATTCCATTGTCATTATAGCATCAGACGATAAGTCTCATTATAATAATTATATCAATCAAGCCTACACTTGCCTGAACATTGAGGAGCTTCACTGTAAAATAATTTTATAAACTTATGATGTATCCCCCTTCCCCTCTCCCCTCCTCTTATTTATGGTGTTCGTATATCCCTTGTTACTTTTTAAGTTTCCATTATCGTATCCATGCTCAGCCACCCCCCCCCCCCACCCCAGTCACCATCACCACACACCGCCCCTTTAGTACTTACTTTTTCATCCTCGGTTGCCGTTAAGCATCGAGGGGGGCCCTTTAGTAAAACATGTTGATTGATTTTTCCCCTTCTCATTTTGCGACAATTTCACTTTTGTCCTGATTTTTTTTCTTTTTCTTTTTTTTAACTGCTGTTTAACAAGAGTCGTCACTTTCAATCAGTGTAATAAAATATTCTTTGTTATACTCCTGATGGAGCGAAAAAGGTGAAACGGTGAGCCTTTTCCAGGATGAAAAAATATATTTCTGGTTCCAGTTTTTAGTTCAAAAATTCTTTTTAAATCTTTACTTTATCTTGTCTTTTACCAAATGACTACAATGACGATGAAGATGATGATGATGATGATGATGATGAGGAGGAGGAGGAGGAGGAGGAGGAGGAGGAGGAGGAGGAGGAGGAGGAGGAGGAGGTGGAGGTGGAGGTGGAGGTGGAGGTGGAGGAGGAGGTGGAGGAGGAGGTGGAGGTGGAGGAGGAGGAGGAGGAGGAGGAGGTGGAGGTGGAGGTGGAGGTGGAGGAGGAGGAGGAGGAGGAGGTGGAGGTGGAGGTGGAGGTGGAGGTGGAGGAGGAGGTGGAGGTGGAGGAGGAGGTGGAGGAGGAGGTGGAGGAGGATGGGGGTTAGGTCAGAGCGGCATTGCAAAAGTAACAGTTTATTTTATTTTATTTTCTGCATATATAGGTTACATCCACCAATTTTCATCAATCTCCGTAAGCTGAAACACGGGGGTGTCATATGCGGCTATAAGATTCCTCCTGAGGTGAATAGAAATGTTTTGATTTTTATTTGTATAAACGTTTGATTTTATTCTCAATATTTTGTTCTGTCGCAATTAATGTGTGTTGTTTATGAAGATGAAGTAGGATTTTATAACAGCTACTTTCTTCTAACTATTGGTTTGTTGCTTCCTTTCTCAAATTATCTGGGGGGGTTTTTGTTGCTTTTGTGCTTATGTGTTGTTTTATTTTTTGGTTGTTAGTTCTTTTGATGTTTCCTTTTTTGTCTTTCTATTTCAGTGTTTCTGTTCAACTTTAAACATAATTCGTACTGCGAGCTTAAATTATCATCCAGATATCAAGAATACGTTCTGGCTAACTTGTACTACGTTGAAACCAAGTAATGGATCCAGCAAGCCAGTATTCATTCAATTATTGTATATTCCTAATATTTGTTAGTATTTTTTAAAATTGTAATGTTTTTTACGTATCTATTGAGACTGACATTTGTGTTCACAAATACAGACTGCATGACCCAACGAGGCGTTAGTGCAATACTAAGATCTTCCCTTTAGATCAGCGATTTGTCAACTTTTATAACCATCGCCCTCTTTTGCCACCTTAAAGAGGCTAAGATTTTCGTACTGCCTACCAGCATGTACTTCCAAGCAGGGCATTGATTAATACCTGTCACTGCCCTTGTGATTCACATCGCCCTTCAGTACGACCAAATCACCGATTAGAGGGCGATACAGCCCTGGTTAGCAAACAGTCTATCACAGTGATAGATAATCAAGTGCTTGCTCTTTGATTTTTTTAGACTGTTGTTGGTTGGGAGGGGGGGGGGTGAGAATGTTCTTTTCGCACTTTGTAGCTGAGAGAAGACGAAATTATTAGGCTTCCTATTTTGTTACTAGCCGTATTCTTTAATGTCGAAGTCTCATCTCATGAAAAGAAGTGTTGCAGCAGAAGTCTAAATGTCAAATATCTCGGAGGTCACTGGAGGTAGTGTTTATGTGAGCTGAGCCGCATCAAATATTCCACACATATAAAGCTTTAAGGGATATAAAAAACGAATACCTGATCTAAACATTTATTACTATTATAGTAGTCCAGAACATGAACTCTTGTTAAGAACTTATGCTTATTTGACCTACTCCTTGTCGTCACAGAGACATGGCAGCGCTTCCTCTTGCCTACATCTTATAAGCGTGTGAGACAATCGTGTGGATCGTGCTACTCTTAACGTTTAATGCTATTACCGTGCTCAAGACTGATGTTGACAGAATGTATATAATAGTTCAGCAACTTTGTAATAATAATATCTGATGACCAGATGTATTTTTATTTTATTATATCATCGCCGTCATTCATCATGTTGGTACGTCAAACTAAGAGATGCTCAGGGGGAGAAAAATGTTTTATTTTGTTTTGGATGTTATCTCAGCAAAACATGTTTAATTCGTATAAATCCATTACTGCTTAAAGGGTAGGGATGAGACTCAGCCAAGCCATGAGCTTCATCAAACTCTACATTAAACTTGATTTTCATTTTGTCGAAATTTTGACATACTGCATCTTTGAACAGCGACAATATGTTTTGTCCTTTGTGTTTGTTCTAGTATGTCTTTTTTCAAATAAGATAGAATAACACATTCTTAGTAAGTGGACATGAATGAAGTTTCCAGCAGTCTTATGAATTTTCTCACAACGGTCCTTTCCTCCATTGTGTGAAGACCACTATTGCAGTAGCTATGTACGCTCTCGGGAGAGACCCAAATGTCTACAAAGACCCCGAGGAGATCAAACCTGAACGATGGATACGGTCATATGAGGAAAGAGATGTTATGAACTCTTTCGCCTTCGTCCCCTTTGGTTGGGGTCAGAGGAGCTGCATAGGTACGTGCGTTGGATCCTTCTGTATACATAAGTAAGAAATAGTATCTGATGAGGGTGGTTAAATGCAGTATTTGCTCGAGACGCAGCAAAGTGTGCTTGTATTGGAGGTGAATTAAACTCCTTCCGGTGAATTTCAGGATAAAACGCTTTAGATACTTGTAATTGTAATTAACACAATCCCTCTTCTAAACCAGTTACCGTATAATATAGAGTATTTTTCAGAATCGTGTTTTATAAAACGGTGGTGAAGATATCGAAGTAGCCTAGTTAAACTGAAAGAAGTGTTTTACCTGTTTAATTTTCACTTTCATTATAATAGTTCGTATGCTTTCGTGTGTTCGTTTGATTTACAATTCGTTTTGTCCCTCCAGGTAGAAGAATTGCAGTGGCAAACGTCCAATTACTGTTAATTGAGGTGAGTTTGTAAGATTCAATCCGGCAAGAAGAAGAATTTTATGAGAATGTTTCGGCTTTCGACTTTTATGAATTACTTAATGGGTTTTCTGTACGCTTTTGGGGTTTTTTTTTCAGTTTAGAGAAGAGCATAGCGTTGGTTTCGGGAGCGGAGTGGATCGGAATAACCCATATTTCACAAAAAATAGAAAAATATATCCATTGTGAAAATACTTTTTAAACGACAAAGCGGGAGAAGTTTGGTAGAGGATTCCATAAGATCAGTTTTTAAGAAATTTTATTTTATTGCTCTGCTGTGTCTAAGTTGTGAATATTAAATTTCACTTTCAGAATCAAGACTAAAAAGGTTCATGGGTAACTTAATGGCCCAGAGAGTCGATCGAGGAGCAATTGCCCTGTAGATATTACTGAACCCAGATTTTCAAACAGTATCCAGTACTGACGGGCGACAGGTTGTAGTTGGGGTGGCCGGTCACTGAGAGTGGTGTCTCATAACAAGAACACGTCAAAATGAACTCCTTACAGCTGCTGGTGCTTAGTCCAAACCAGAAAAAGGGCATTTACAAGTATATTCTAATTCCTTGTATTTTGATTTACATTGTGTTGTATGTTTTGAATTAAAGTATATGTACGCTGCATACAGAATGTCTGCAAAGATATAACTAAAGTTGTACTTTTCATGTAGTTTTAAATTGTTCCATGTCTCTAAATTGTGTTCTGACCCGTTTTATAGCATCCATTCTTTGGTTGCTTCTATAGCGTGGATAAAGTCAAATTGTTCTCATCCATAGTGCCAGATCCACTTCTCTCTCTCTCTCTCTCTCTCTCTCTCTCTCTCTCTCTCTCTCTCTCTCTCTCTCTCTCTCTCTCTGTCTCTCTCTCTGTCTCTGTCTCTGTCTCTGTCTCTCTCTCTCTCTCTGTCTCTCTCTCTGTCTCTCTCTCTGTCTCTGTCTCTGTCTCTGTCTCCGTCTCTGTCTCTGTCTCTCTTTCTCTTTCTTTCTTTCTTTCTTTCAAGCCCCCCCCCCCCCTCTCTCTCTTGCCCCCCTCTCTCTCTCTTTCTTCCTCTCTCCCCTCTCTCTCTTTCTTGTCCTCCCCCTCCCTCTCCTCTCTCTCCCTGCCTCTCTCTCTTTCTTTCTCTCTGTCCCTTCTCTCGCTCTCTCTTGCCCTTCCCCCTCCTCCATCTCTCTCTCTCTCTCTCTCTCTCTCTATCTCTCTCTCTCTCTCTCTCTCTCTCTCTCTCTCTCTCTCTCTCTCTCTCTCTCTCTCTCTCTCTCTCTCTCTCTCTGGTGGCGTCGGTAGCCTCGTGGTTAGGCAAACTGGCTCGTAATCGTGAGTTTGCGGTTTAGGGGGATGGAGCCTCAGTTTGATCCGATGTTGTGTCCTTGGGAAAGGCATCATCATTGCCTTTCTCATCATGCACAAGGGTATAGGCCACGGACAAACACCTCCAACCGTTCTCTATCCTGGGCTAGCCTCTTGATGTCATTCTGTCTTCCCACTTTTCTGTACATCGATTTCTGTGATTCTTCTCCAGGTTCCACTCGGTCTTCCCATTGATCTCTTACCCTGTGAGTTCGAATCCAAAACTTTCCTTGTTTTGCAGCTGCCTGACTTCCTGAGAGTACGTCCAATCCATCGCCACTGCCTTCTTCCTGCCTCATCTCTATCGGGGATCTGTCTTGTTTTCCTTAACACTTCCACATTGGTGACCCTGTCTGTCCATTTGATCCTAAGTAGCTTTATTAGACACCTGCTCAAGAAAACCTGGTTCCTCTTTATGCAAGTCTGTGATGCGTTCCATGTCTCACATCCATACAACAGGACCGACTTCACATTTGAATTGAAAATCCTCAGCTTTGTTCGAAGTGAGATATCTCTGGTCTTCCAAATCCTATCCAAAGATATGAAAGCAGCCTGTGCTTTTCCAATGCTGGACTTTATTTCAGCACCTGTTCCTCCCTCTCTGTCAATTATACTCCCAAGATAGCAGGAGGATTCAACGTTTTCTAGTGCCTTTCCTTCTATTGAGACCTGCTCCTTTCGTTGTGCATCTGTCCTTAGGACCTTTGACTTTCCGGGGTGGATCCTCAATCCAACGGACTCCGATAATACTGAAGTCTTTGCTTGCATCTGTTCCTGGGTGTGCAACAGAAGCACCAAGTCGTCTGCAAAATCCAGATCGTCCAACTGTGTCCATGGTGCCCACTGTATACCATATCTGTGTCCTCTGGTGGTTTCCTTTATCAGCCAGTCGACTGCCAATATGAAGAGGAACGGTGATAATAGAGTGATCCCTCTGTAGTTGCAGCAGTTGCTGAGATTCTCCTTTTTTGGAAGCTTCACGAGGTGCCCTTCTTACCAATCCTTTGGGAACTTGCTCTCATTCCAGATCCAGGTAAACAGTGGGAGGAGGATAACTGCCGTCACATTGGCATCTGCTTTTAGGGCTTCAGGTGGAATCTGGTCAGGACCGGCCGCTGTACCTTTGTTCAGCTTCTTAATGGTACCCAGTATCTCTTGTTTTGAAGGAGCATCACAGCAGATTGGTAACTCATTTCTTGCTGGCAGGATGTTTGGTGGGTTACTCGGTGGTGGTCTGTTCAGGAGACTGTTGAAATGCTCTACCCATCGTTTGGACTGAGCTTCCTTTCCAAAAATGATTTTCCCCTCTTGGTCCTTTACTGGTACTTCAGGTTTCCCGTATTTTCCAACAAGTGTCTTTGTGGTCTGGTAAAGGATTCGCATGTGCCCTCCTACCGCCCTCTGCCTTCTCTGCCAGCCCGTTCAAGAATTCCTCCTTGTCTTTTCTTAGTGATTTCTTGACATCTTTAGCTGTTGTCCTGTACTGCTCCAATGCATCCGCTCTTGATCCTCTTGTTCTACTTGCATTCGCTTCTGCCTTCGGCTGTCTTCTTATCCTAGTTAAATGCAATGAGTGTCGGCTAATCCATTCCTTGTGCTCCCATTTTTTCACACCGAGTACTCCTTGACAGGTTGATGTAAAGACTTCTTTGACCTTGGTCCAGTGTGTATCCACCTCTGTGTCATCTCCGTCAAGATCAGCTAGAGGTTGAAATCTGTTTCTCAGCTGCAGCTGAAACTCTTCTTTCTTGTGTCCGTCCAAGAGACATACTTCGAACTTCGTTCTTTTGATTCCTGTGCTGGTTCCATGCTTTTTTAATCGAAGCTTGAGTTTTGCCAACAGCTGATGATGATCCAATCCAGCATCTCCTCTTTTCTGTACTTTGACATCTTCCAGTGAACCCCTGAACCTACGAAATATACAAAAATGATCTATATGGTTCTCCGTCACTCCATCTGGCGAAACCCATTTGGCCTTGTGAATCCTCATGTGGGGAAAAACAGAGCCTCCAATGACAAAACTCTCACCGTTCTCATTCATTTGTCCCAAGCCATGTTGTCCCATAATTCTTTCATACCCCACGTTGTCCTGACCAATATTGGCATTGGCATCTCCCATTACGATGTTAACGTCCTTCCTTGGTAGTTTGTCGATGACCCCCTGGATCAGGCTGTAAAAGACATCCTTGTCTTCATCCGAAGCATCATTTGTTGGGGCGTAGATTTGGACTATATTCATGTAGATGCGCTTGCTCCTTGTAGTGAATGAAGCCATGATGATCCTTTCTCCGTGTGATTCCCATCCTCTAAGTGACTTCTGTGCATACTTACTCAAAATGATTCCCACTCCATCAGCATGGTACTTGTCTTTCCTCCCAGAATACAATACTTGTTCCCCCGAGCTGAGCTGCTTCTGTCCAGACTGTATCCAGTGTGTTTCGCTTACTCATATTATGTGCAGCCTGTATCTCTTCATCTCTTGTACTACTTGAGAACTCTTTCCTGCTTCATACAAGGTGCCAACATTCCACGACGCAATTCATAGAGTCTTGTTCGACAGAGAAGGTTTCGGGTCAGAAGAGTCCTTTCGACTTTGTCCGCTGTCCTTCATTGTTCCTGCTGATGCAGAAGCTCCTCCGTCTCCCAAGATCAAAAAATAAAAAGCTGTGTTTGTCCGTGTTTCTGTAACTTACTGGGGTTTTTTACTGGGTTGGGTAGTTGGCCCTCTGCAAACTGGCACTTTTCGGGCTACCAGACCTTTGCACTTTTAGTCGCCTCTTACGACACGCAGTATCACGGCAGGTGTATTCTTTGCTCCCACTATGGGGCCCCAACCTGCAGGGGCGTTGGGAAAGGCACTTCACACGAATTTCCCACTTGGTTCGGTCCTTTCGGAGACGGCCGAATATGCTCAATGGGGTTTATAATATTATGTGGTTTTTGGACAACATATAATTTAAGATTAGAATGGATCCTCATCTTTATGAATAGCAAGATGTTAGACACACTATTAGACACCGGGTCACATAAATAAAATTACAAGAAAACAAGCTTTTTAAGACTTATAGTTCACACTGTTGTTGTTTTTTAACCAACCTCAGCTCCTTCGTCGGTTCAAGCTGACCACCGAGACGAAAGACCTCAACTTGATATCACGCCTCACCTTGACTCCTGGTCAGCCCATCCAGCTGAAACTGACTCCCAGGAAGTAAACTGTTGTGTAAGGGAGGAGTCCACTGTGCTGGGGTTATTGTGCGTGCTGCTTTGTGTGCCAACATGTCGCTACATCATAATTACAATGTTCTATCTGCCTTTTCTGGCTGGTTTTTTTTTTTTAGTTACTAAGACCATGAGATCAGAAATCAAATGATCTATTTGCTCTATCAAATTCGAAAGATTATTTGGTGTCATTATCAAGATTTTCTAAGAATTTCATTCGAAAAAGCTTGACAAGATGTGAAACTCAAAATCTTTGACGTAAAATTTCTCAAAACTAGGTTCAGAGCAGATAGAACCTTGTAATTCTGATGTAGCGATGTGTCAAGCGGAACGTAATTCTTATTCTTATCATGTTTGCGTATTGTGTAGAGGAAAATGCGGGAGATAAGACAATGGTCTACACCTCCTTGAAATAATGCATCAAAGTCGAGACCAAGGAAGATGGAGGTCTGTTGGGGAAAGAAGTATGGCACCAACCAACGACAGACACGGCCATGGTGACAGGTGACACATGACAGTTTGTAGTGAAAAGAAGTAGAAATTCCCCTCCAATAAAGATATTTTCGAGAAAGAGATGAGAGTCTACGGATGCATGAGCGTGTGTATGAGCATGTATGTTGTGTATGTGTTATTGTAACTACGTGTCAGCGTAATTGGTAGCAGAAAGTGATGAAGGCACAACGAAAGACAGGCTGAAAGATATACAGAATGAGACGGACGCTGAACGGACGATAAAGAAAGATGGGAAAAAATTAGAGCTATTTAATGATTATAAATTCATTTTGTTGTATGAAAATTGGTTTATATTTGAGATTTTAAAAGAACTATCTATCATTCTTTTCTGTTGGGAAAAGGGCTTTATGTCATGTCGCTGTTATGTACATAATACTAGATGAGAAAAAATTGAACTTCGCGACTATCATTTACTATTACTATACATATTGTATTTCGCTCTGAACTATATTTAAGCAAACGCTGATATTATACAGGGTGACCGAAACAAATCAGCAACTAAAATCCTAATAAAATCAAACAAATTCTACTTTCTTAAATCAGAGCTTTGGAATCTTAAATAACTTTGCAGACAGTGTGTGTCAAAATGTAATACAAATCGAGAAAGACATGTTAAAATGGTAACATGTTTCATAAAGCACCGAAAATTGACTTTTTTCGGAGAAAAAAAATGTACTAAAAACGTTTTAACTGATTCGGAAAATGTGTAACACATGTTTAATAGAAAGCCGTAATACTTTTGCCTCGATTATTGACAATAATGTTTTACACTAATATTTAACGTTTGAGTAAAAGTTCCAAGCAAAGGGATAAATTTAAATACTGTTTAAATAAGTTTTCTTTTCAACTGTAAACGCCCAAGCACTCGTTTTTGAAAGCTGTGAATCACTTGCTCGTACAAGTCCTGGTCGATGCAAGTAATCTGATTTGCGATGGTCTCCTTTTTATAAAATGTGGCAATCATATCGCAATATCCTTCGACTTGACACATGCTCCAGGTCCCCTATTTAACGAGTCGGCTGTTAAGCTGATATTTCTGAATGATTGAGCTTCAATTAAGTCCTATGCCTATTGTCCCTTTTAGTCCTTGATGTTTGGTGTCTCCTAGATATTGATTGAAAACCTATTTATATTATATTGACGTGAAATTTGCACACTGTGTCTGCAAAATCGGCTAATAAAAGTAGAAATTATTAAGGAATAGTAACAGAGATTTTTACGGTCACCCTGCAGTTGATTTCCTTGTAATTTTGGTCATATGTTCCAACAGATCATTTCGTTTTTTCTTTTAATACATTTTTTTTTGGGGGGGGGGTGTCTTAAGAGGAGCACAGTTTCTTGAAAAAGAAGACAAAGAACAAAGACCGTTCTTGAAAAAAATGAGACAGAATTTTGTTCTTGACAGCCCTGGTGTTGAAACCTTTATTCAAGAGCACGAATATTTGAAAAAAATGTGCCTTTTGATTTGGTGTTGTGTATAAAATCTTAGTAGAATGAATACAAAAAGCGGCTTGTCGACAAAGTTAATGACGTCATGATAAGACTAGATCTAGCGTTTAGACAATTTGGCATCGTCAGTGCTCCATACAAATGCTCCTGTTGAATTATTAAAAATACGTTTTCGAATTGCTAGATACACAATTGTCACGGCTGACTTTTATTTTTTTTTCTTCTCTACGTTGTCACCGTCAAAACTGTTACTCTTCATGCTTTAGCTGTATTTTCTCATCTTTATCTTTCCGCTCTTCCTATCTTGATGGACGGTTGACGGGTGTGACTGATTATTTCTGTTTCTTTATTGTTCGTATTTTATCTGTCCGTCTTGATTTTTTTATTTTCTGAACTAAACGGCCATCATTGTATCAAAGTCATTCTCTTTATTAAGAAAAATATATATTTAAAAAAGTATAATAGTACAAAGACCACGTTTCAAATGCTGATGTACGAAAGAGAATCACCAACGCAGTGGGGCAGCATGAAGATCTACTGACCACAGCGAAGAGAAGAAAATTAAAATGATATGGGCATGTCACAAGATCCACGGGACTTGCCAAAACAATCCTACAAGGAACTGTGCAAGGAAAGAGAAGGAGAAGAAGGCAGAGAAGGAGATGGGAGGACAACATTACAGAGTGGACAGGAAAGACGATGGGTGACAATCTGAGGAAAGCAGAGGACAAAAATAGATGGCGAGAGCTGGTTTTCAGATGCAGTGGTGTCCCCACGGTTGCCTCAACCACGGGATAGAAGAAGAAAAAGATAATAGTAATAAGACTCCCTCCTTTTACTGTCTCTCCCCCCCCCCCCAGGCCAGGGCATACTGACTGAAGTGTCTTTAGGCATTTTCCAAAGGGGGATATTATCATGCTCTTATGCACAGTAGAATTGTAAATGGGCTAATTTATCAATGGCATGCTCATACTGTGCCGAAACAATATAGGGGGAACTGCTGCTTTTTCTTTCCTCATCCTTGCTATCGTTATTTTTTCTCCACTTTTTGTATGTTTGTACCTCTTGTGAACTGTTATTTCCAGGGTGCCTTGATAATCGAAGCAGACTTTGTGCTGTTGAGGCTAGCGAGGTGAGCAGAGTAAGCCTGATTCCCTGTTTGGACTTCTCAGTTGACATTCACCCTATGGCGATCATATGGCTTTATGTAGTTGCGAGAGCCGCAAAACCTTATTAAAACAAAAGTAAAACCTTTACTGTCCACATTCTGGCGAACGATCATATGCTATTGGTTAGGAACACTAGCACTGGCGCCTGTAGGGTAGCCTTTAAGCGCTTTGCCGTCGCACGCAGAAGATTTGAGTTCGATTCCCGTGTGGATCTTTTTTTCTTTTTATTGAATAGGTCCATCTTTCTGCTGAAATGTTGCATCTTTTTTAGCCAGTATTGGCAAGGTCTGGGGCATCCCTCCATCTAAATGATCTAAAGTGGGTCATTGGGGTCTTAAACACTTAAATTGGATAAAATTTTACGTCCTTTACCACCACTCAGAAATATGTGCTTTGAATATGACTGTGACGACTCAGCTGCTTCTCATCCATCGCAGAATGTATCCACATAGCCCGGATTCCTGTCATAAGCAACAAGTTTCGCGTTCAGAATAAAGTAACATTATTGTACCGGAGAAGAGCAATAGAGTCTCCATCTTCTATTTCTGCTGCGCCTGTTTTTTGCTTTGTTTTTTGTTTTTGGTTCCATTCATGCTTTGACAGAGTTTTTATTTTCGCTCATTCATGCTTCGCCTGCTTTATTTTTCTCCAATTTGAGCTTCACATGTACTTTCCTCCATTTATATTTGTTCGTATCCCCTTCATTTCCATCTCTCCCTGTCTTTTCCTCTTACTTGTTCTATTTCTGCTTCGCCAGTTTTCCCCCATTCATGCTCCACCTGTTTTTTCTTCCATTCACAAAAGTCCGTAATTATCCTCATCATTTTCATATTATCTACCCATCTTGTCTCATTCTCTTCGTTTCACACTCTACATTATCCACTGCGTATTGCTCCTGCTGTTTCTTCTATTTCTTTTCCTTTTCCTGTTACTCCTTGTCCCAATCTTCCTACTCCTGTGCGCCCCTGCCTGTCGGGAAAAAATTAAACCAACTTCTTTCAGGTCGGGAACATGCAAATGTCATGGGAAAGGAAAAAACCTCCAACAAAAGATGTATTGCATTTGTGTATAGAAATCTAGATAATATTTATTGTTGGATCTGTATTGTGAGACTAGATCTATAAAGCCGTTAACTGAAGAACTGGCATGTCTTTCATTCTGAGCGTCCATACAACCTCTGCATACAAGTCAAGGGTACACCCCAGATTTCATGCCTCCTTTTTTCTACTTTATGGTTTTGTGCTGTGCTGTAGGCTACTAAATATTTGATACTTTTATAAATGGTAAACGCCACGCCTCCACCGTTTTACCGCTACATGACACTATCCTGATAATTTTGGAGGTGGGTTACTTCGACCATAACTGCTGTCAAGGCAGCGAGATCAAAAGGCAGATCTCAGGAACATGAGACTCAGCTGGCTGGGGGCGGAGAAGATTGCTCAGAACAGAAAGTGTTGGAGAGCCTATGGCGGCCTATGCCCAATATCAGGGTGAAAGAGGCGAATGATTGACCTTTCAAGGTCAACTCGGATGGAGAGTGATTCAGTTCACTAACAAATTGAAGGTGAAATTACTAGTGAAATTATAGACTTTCTCATGTACAAAACAAACAACCATTACACCACGGGCAGTGTCTGCGTATGAGGGTACAAACAATTACATGTAATATGAAGTGACCTGAGCAATATCAGAAATGTTCATCATTCTTATATCCTCTGCTTTTCTCTCCCCCCCCCCCTCTTCTGCTGGTGGTCAGAGAGCACCACTGGTACGTTCTACTTCTTTACATTCCTTCAGTTATTTCTGTCTCTGTCCTACTTTTTTATCAGCGCTAAATGACTATTGATGTGTCTATTATGTGTACTTCTCTTTACGTATAATCAGTCACGCCTTTGGAGCAATGGAACTTCAGTTTCTCTACTTTATTGATTCACATTAACATATTTCTTGATAAATAAATATAATCTAATAACTGATGTTATTCTATCCATTTTTAAAGAAAGAACTCTACC